GGGCGACGGCCCGGGCGGCGGGGTCAGCGGCGCCGGCGTTGGCGAAGACATGTCAGATGCACTCAGTCACTAAAGCACAAGCGCACTGGCACGGAGAGTCACTATCACTGGACACAGTTCACGATCACGTCGGGGTCACCACTTTGTAGGTATTGTTGGGCTCCTACGTTGCCCGCTGTGCACAGTGATCGAGACGCAGACGTTTATATACAGAATTTACATTTATTGTACTATGATACAAGTGACTATGATACAAGTGACTATGGTACAGAAAACTGAGCGCGGCGCGGGAGTCGCGGTGGTCGCGGCGCGGCGCGGGAGCCAGCCGGCGTTCCGACGTGTGAACGGGCTGGAGGGCTGACGACGAGTGTGCCCTTGCCCTGGGGCTGCACGGGCTCGACGGGGGCCTCGGGACGGAGAGGCCCTGCACGTGCAGGCGCAGAACAAGGGCGGTTGTTTTCGAACGGCGGCCGGCGCGCTATTTAATAGCTCCAAGAATCGGCCGCCGTTCGGCGCTAAAACTAAGGGCTAAAAACTACGGAACTATAAACACAATAAACACATTTACAGCCTCGAAACCGAGGGGGCGACCCTGGACGGCGGCGACAAAATCACGCCTACACTGCTGGGAAAGTCGTCCAGGGCCGCCACAAGTCTATCTTTAGCCGGGGCGGTGCGTCGGACTACGTCGGACGCGTGTCGGCATCATCTGCCCCAACCCGTTCTAGCCGCGCCACCGCCAGGCTTCGCCGCCAGGCCCCGGCTAAGTCGTTTTCGTCGCTCTGTCTCTCTCGCTTGCATGGGGCGTCCCGCGTAGGTGCGAGAGAGACAGAGCGATGACTCTCGGAATCAGCCTGCAGGGCACCACTCGCAGGTTCTCGGTCCTCCACTGGACCTCTTCGGCGCCTCTCGATACCCCGAGCAATCCATTGGTGGGGTCACACGTTCGGTTCGCGTCCTATTTAGCGACTCTGGAGCTCAAAACGCGGCCCACTGTGCAGTCTATCTGGCCGAATACCACACGTGCCCGCCCTGGCCGCCCTGCCGGCGATAACTAGAACTAGACGGCGTCGTGAATTGTTCTGCAGATAAGCCCGGCCGCCCCAGGCCGCCCTATGCGGGCAACCGTTCGCGTCGCTCTGTCTCTCTCGCACCTATACGGGACGCCCCATGAGTGCGAGAGAGACTCTCGGAATCAGTGTGCTGGGCGGCGCGCGCGGCGCGGGAACTTTGAGACGGCCGGGCGTCGGGCCGGGCGCACTCCACTGCCACAAAAACAAAAGCCGACTCAGCCGACTCATTGATTCACACTCTCCCGCCCGCTCGCCGCGGAGCGCGGAGAGTACACAGGACAGTCGGCGCCAAAACAATCAAAACAAAGCGTACAATTAGCCGTAATGCAATGCAGGGGGGCGCGGGGGCCTTGGGAGGGGCTGTCCGTCTCGGGGTTCATCGAATGGCAGAATAATGGCATAACGGGCTGCGTGTGTCGCGGACGTCGCAGACATGGTGAGTCACCTGGGCGCGCGGCGCACGTACACACACACACACACACACACACACGCGTCGAGGTATTGCCACATGATAAACGCGCACCGAGCGGGCTGTCCTGCGTATCGCACTCCTCGGAGTGCTGCGCGCTGCGCGGTGCTGCGGCTCGCCGAGCAGCGGTCCCTCTCGCACTCACGGAGCGTCCCGTAAGGGAGTGAGAGAGACAGCGATGAAAAAACGACCCTCGGAGTCAGTCTCCTGGGACACTTACGTTGGGCGCCACGGTCAACTAGGCTCCAGTCAGGCAGAGCGGGCGGGGCGTGACAGACGGACGGACGGACAGACAGACAGACAGACAGACAGACAGACAGACAGACAGACAGACAGACACCACGCGGGCTCGCCAAGCCATGAGGCATCATGAAACCGACGCTGAAAATAAGACGAGACTACAGTGTCGTCGTTATCGGTGCGAAGGGAAATCACTCTCTGGTTGCATCCGCAGTGTGTATACACTGTGCACTCTAAGCGGCGACAGTGGCGCATTGCTGGCGGTCGAGTAAGAGGAATCTGCATACGAGGCCGCCCTCCACCGGACACCGCCCCTCCCCCCACCCCCTCCCCCGCCGCCTACGCACAGAGGCCCCGCAGGCCCCGCAGGCCCCGCCGATAAGGGGCAGATAGCGAAGTGGCCCGCGCCGAGACGCGTCTCGACGGCCGACCCATCTGTAACACACTGTAACCGGGCGCAAGGGACACCCAATGGCGCCTTTGCAGTTTTCCGGGTGAAAGGTCCACTGGAAAACGGGGAAAGTTTATTAAAACGGCAGGGGGGCTTGCGCCTTGGCTTGCGCCTTGGCTTGCGCAGTGCGCACTACAGTGTGCTGTACAGCGGCGCGTGGGAGGAGCGACGACACCGTTTTTCGGTTTCGGGACGCCGTCGCCACAGCGCCGCCACAGAGACATCAGGCACTGGCAGGTGCCGAAGACGCCCAGGCGCGAAGGAGCCCGAAGGTACCCGAAGGCAACAGTGCACGTCGTTCGGAAACGGCACGAAAACAAAACGAAACGGATTTCGACAGCAGACTCAAGTGTCTTACAGAGGCAGGCGCCACCGCCGCTAAGGTTCAAGGACAAGCTACAGCGGTCAGTAATTGAACCCAGGCGCGCAGTGTCTGCCAACAGTCTCGGGCCTGGCCCCCCCAGGGGCCTGGCAGTCCAAATGGCAAGCCGCGGCGCCGAGGGTGCTTTCCCTCGACGATAGTAGCAGCAGCGCACCAGAAGACCGGTGGAGGCGGCCTAAAGACGCGTTTTGAGCTCCAGAGTCGCTAAATCAGACTCGAACCGAACGTGTGACCCCCCCCCCCCCCCAATGGATTCCTCGTTCGGAGAACAATCCATTGGTGGGGTCACATGTTCGGTTCGAGTCCCATTTAGCGACTCTGGAGCTCAAAACGCGTCCGGGATTTTGACCGCCTGCACTGCCTGGATGGCGCCAACACGGGCCTAACTGCGCCTCGCGCTCCAAGGCGACCGGCAGCACGCCGGCAGCCACCCCGCGGCCTTACGGTGCAGGGCACTGCACACGACGAAGCACTCGGGGGGTCCTTGCGCCCCCTGCCACTGCACTGCACTTCGGTTGCTTGCGGACACATCACTTACGGAAAATCACCGACTTAAGGACGTCTTCACGAAATCACGGACACTTTTGTCTTCTTGTTGCACACACACACGACGCACACACAGTCACTCTCAGCCTCAACAAAACAAACCGCCCCTGCCCCTGCCGGGGGTGCCGGGGGCGGGGGTGCCGGGGGCGGCGGCGACGCGTGCACACTCACGCACTTTTGACACTTGACAGGTCACTGTCAGCTGGGCCGCACTGTCACACGGATCGCGTTGACAGTCCCGACGGACACGGCGTCGACGGCGAGGTGCAGGGCCTGCAGGACGCCCCCCGAGTCCCCGGCTGAGGAGCCGCTTTGCGGCTGCTGCAAGTCCAAAACGCACTGGCCGGCCGCGCGCTCCGCTGGCTCCACTGTCGGCGCTGGCGCCCTCCACGGCCATGGCCGGGGGCCGGGCTACGCGGCTCGGCTACGCGCTGCCGGGCTGCAGGACGGGGGGCTCTTGAACACGCAAACGACACTCGCAGACGACACTCGCACCACCCTTGCGGCCCTAGGGTCCTTCGCTAGGACCCAACGAACCGCCACGGCCGCGGCGCCACAGGCGGCCCTGCCGCATCGGCCGGACCTCATATTGGCAAACATGACAAGTATGTAAAGCATTGCAGGAATCGGCGCATCGCATCGCCGCAGCGCCGCATCGCCCCCACATACCTCGCATTCTCTGGCCGTTTGCGGGCCCATTCTAACTTGAACACGCGCTCAAAAGCCACACGGCCACCGGGTACTCACCAAACGATCGGTTCCGCCCCTTTCGGACGAGTTTCGCTGAAATTAGACCGCTATTTGGTCCGTAAATATGAGCACCGAGTCCCACTTTGGTATGCCAAGAATGGCACAAAGAATCTAGACAACGCGGAGAGCGACTGCGCACTCTGCTGGCGCAGGAGGGGCGACGCGGGCGGCGGCGAGGAGAAACTGGAGTTTGATCAGCGCCAGCAGCCGCCCGCCAAACGCTCCCGCCCCCCTCCAGTCACGTGGGCCCGAGCGGCCGCCGAACGCCGCTCGGGAACGCCCGAAGTGGCGCCGAAGCCACCCGAACGCGTGCCGAGCGCGCTTCGGGCCGCTCGGGCGACGCCGCGCCACGCCTCCCCCCGCCCCGCGCGCCCAACCCCACCACCGCGACCAGCGGCAACAGCGGCCGACGCGGCCCAGCGGCTTCCTCTTGTTCTTCTCCGCGGCCAGAAAGGAGAATTTGAACTGCGGGCAGCGGCCTTTTCCGCCAAAATGGCAGCCCTCTGTCCATTGGCTGGGCACTGGCTGGGCACTGGGAGCTCTGGGGAGCGAGCGGGGATGCAGCGCGGATGCAGGCTGCAGCACCTACGCCCTTTTCGCCTCACGGGCTGCCCGCTCCAGTCTCGGTGGATTCCCGAGCAAGCCTCCTTCGCTCACTCAAACACAAACTCCACGTGTTGCCGCAAGCCTTCGATATTCATTTCGCAGTTGCTCGGGAATGCCCCACACGTCGCAAACCGCAGCCCCCGCAGCCCCATCCCCATTCTGTCTGGACTTGTTGCTCTGCTGGTTCGTCTTGAACTGCCTTGCCTCAAGGAGGCAGGGAATTCCTTCTTAAGTCTCGACTGCGATTAAGTCTGTTTTTCTATTAGACAAGTATCGTTTGCCCAGGTAGACTGACAAGACGCCTTAGCCTAAACCCGACAGTGCGGACACGCCCCCTTCCTCCCCTCCCCTTTTCTCCCCTCCTCTGCCCCCAAAGCTTGTAAGGGAAGCTCCACTTTGTGAACATTTTTCAAACTCCTGATATTTGTAGACCACTGGATGACCCCTGGATTTTGGAACGGCCATTAAATGAAATATGCAAGATAAGGAGAGAGAAATCAAGAGTTATTTATTGCTGTTGTACACATGACCAAATACAATTCTTCAGAAGGCACATTCTCATGGTAGGATCAGTATGTTTTAGGCCAAAATGAGGCAGAAAAGAGAGCAGATAAAAAGTCAATCTGAAGAACATTGAAACATACAATAGAATTTATAGATTTTTCTTGTTGATAAATTCATTTTTAAAATATGGAATAACATAACAACACGTATCAGTATGACGTAGGATAGACAACAGGGGCACAACATGAAAAATGTACCTTGGAACACATTCAGTTAATTCACAATTCACAGATTCATGCATTGTATAGAAATCCTAATTGAAAAGTTTGCAGAACAAACCATCAAACGGATTTTCTATTAATCTATTAACATATGGACCATGCCCTACAGAAATAGAGTACCTACATAATCAGTTTATCATAGAGAGCAATCATAATAGTAAATTTTGCTGCTAAACTCTCAATTACAGCAGTACTTGCTAAACATCCTATTTCAGTTGAGGAATTTCTCTTCAACACTATCACAATCTTTGGCAAAGGCTTACTGGTAATGGCTTCTGAAAACTGGATGAATGCTATATTATCACAATGTCAGCAATTGCACCATAATACAAATCAATCAGATGAATTCCACTGTAAAAACTTGACTGGCATTGAAATAAGGAAAGATACAAAGTCGGTATATAACCAATATTTGATCAAAGAGAATCAAACAGTACACCAATCATGAATGGTTTTTCGGCTCACAATGGCAGGCGGGCAAAAAATACTCCATTTGCTCAGTAACAAACATGTTAATACAGAATATTCTAAAAGCCATACTAAGTAAATTGTGGATTCATTTCAAAAAATTGGAAAACTCCTTGAGTTTTTTGTCTTTTTCACATACATGGTAGTTTGTCTTTTATTGGTCATGACACCCATGAATTTTCCACTTCTGTTTTTCTCTCATTATCTATTGTTTACTTCCATATAAAATGTCTACATACATCGGGTAACTGCTAAAAACTGTTTGAATGCAACACTTTGCACAAGACAAGTCCTACAAATCAGAGAGCAAAACTTGAGCAAATAAGAAGAAACATACAAGTATGTTACATAGAATTTGTCATTAACTAATAAAAATCAAGAGCTTTACAGGGGGCAAGTACTATTATTTTTAATGTTTCAAAGTTCCGTGGCTACAAAAAATATTTGTGAGACTCCACGCAAATGAGAAAAAATAGATTGTTTGCTGGAGAGAAAATTTTCAGATGAAAAAGCAGTTGTACAGATGAAATGGAATACCATGTGAAATCATCACACATCCTATATGACTGATATCCTGAAAGCAGCTCATCTAGCTAAGCAAACTGGTCAGTAAAATTGATTTTCACAGGAAATATCAAGATTAGAAACCAATAAGAAGAGCTTCTGTATTACTTTGATTGTACTCTTAATATGAGTTAAATTTTAAGAAGAATTTGAGTTCTCATTATGTATTGTATAATAAGATATGTTGCTTAAGCAAACAAATTTTTAAGTAAACAAAACCCTGCCATTGTACCCCAGTCCAATCACTCCCTGCACCATTTGTTTTCCAGCAAAACAACCAATATACATCAAAATTTTGCTGCATACATTCAGCATAACAATCACAGGTACAAATATTCCGCCAAATTACAGATGTGCAATATGCATTTTAGTACTAAACAATACCTTTGGTTCAAAAAATATAATGGTTTTAGTTCATAGTAAAAATACAGGCATGCTCATTGTTCAAGTACAGTTGCTTCCAAAGTGTAGACCGCAAGAAAGAGAGAAAAAGACTAGAATTGCTTTGAAAGCCACGATACATTGAAGCAGATCTGTTACCTAGTTTTATTTTAATAATAAATCATCCACTCCACATTTTGAAAGAAGATTCTTTAAAAGGATTAGATTTTTAAAAATCCAAACTTTAACTGAACACTTAAAAACAGAGAGCATTACATAATTCAAGTGCAGGACACAAATTTGCACTGTTTGTGTAAAATGTCACCCAATCGGTGCATGCTTACTGGCACACTCCACAAATTTGCACACAAATATATATGTTAACATGCCACACCCATTTATTTACAAAATACATAACAGCACCAATCAAACCACCTTGGCACGTATCTACCTGATTGTTTGCATGCGCTGGGCAGTGATGTATCCCTTCAGTGTTCGAACATGCACAAAACCCACTGCATTAATTCACCTTAAAATTCAACAGCTAACATAATTGTACATACAAGAGTTCCCAATCCTTCAGATATACATAGTGATTATCTAATAAATAAAATAAATCCAGAAACAACAAGTGTGCATCTAGTTTTGTGCTAGTAAACTTACTTCTAATATGATAAACAATTTATTTTAGACAATTAATGTAAATGCTTTAATTTTGAGATTAACTTCATTCAAATAGAGAAATTCCCCATATGGAGCCTTGCTCTTCCGAGAGACATTAGTTCAAATGAAAAAAGGAAGAAGATTAAAAGTTTTTTAATTTGTCATGAACTCTTTCAACTCCACTCTCTGGAGAGAGCACTAGGGGTATGTACCTTCCCTCAATTCATGAGAAATAAGACACCCAAACACAAAAAAATCAACTTAATACGTCAAAAAATCAAAAAATTCTTCTGAAAAGAAACAAAAGCTAAACATGCTAAGATGGGTACATTTATCTCAGCATATAACAGTATTGAAGATTAAACCCAAAGGAGAATTTCACTTAGATGAACCACAGTTGTTTAAAAACACTTGATCGTTTTGAGAAGGCTGAGATGTATGGTCCCAAAACTAAATCTACGGTAAAACAATAGAAATAGAAATTTGTTGCATTTCTACGAGAACAGCACACATACCAATAGTATGTTTTAAGGTCCACAAATGTAGTAACTCATGCTTCTACAGAAGTATGTTCTGAAAATAAGTCATAAATATCACACTACGCTCCTAATAATCCACTGGTAAAAAGTGGATATCGGGATTTCACATTTCTTTCTTAATAAAAGTTTAAATGAGGTAATATACAATGAGTAAAGAGCACCTTTAAGTGTACCATAAATATTCACAACTACCATATTTAGGTAACAATCTACAATCACAACAAATGATCTCATGACTAGCAGAGTATATGATACAGTCTTCTAACAAGAAAAGGCAGAGACCACTAATCCATGAGTACATGGCAGTACTACAGCAAAAGAAAACCATCAATGTTGAGAAAAAAAATCAAAGTGCCTAACTTGTTAACTCCAAAAAGATAAGTTGGCACCATGTACATAGGTGATATGTGTCATGTCCAACTGCTGTCAGACATTATTACAAAATAATTAAATGTCTTAGATCAGCTTCACAGTAATTGACAACACTAAAGACACTGTAACCGTGCTCTACAATAGTTGAAGTTTTCAGTGTGTAGTCCATTTTCTTATCTTTTTCTTCTTTTTTTTTTGCCTCCCATGACAACTTTAAGATCTTTTGGCACAGTACTTGTCACAGCATTAACTTTCATGATAACAGCGACATAAGAAAATCTCAAGGTACTATCATATGACATTTTAAGAGAAAGTTGGAGTTGGCACTCAAGTACACATTTTGACCTGAGGACAGATATACAGATCTGGGAAGGAAACATGATACTATAAGAAAATCACGAGACACAAAGAAGTTCAAAATCTTGATACTAATGGCTACGCTTGCAAATGAGTATTTCTTTAAAGCAAAGATAATTCATCGGCATTCTGGCACACAGCTAGCTTGACATATTAAGTACAATCTACAGGAAAACATACATGCAATGATTACAAATAAGAACTTGAATAAACTTAATGGTAGTGAATAATTGAACTTTCCCTGAATGTCATCATCAGGAAAAATGACTCCAAAAATGATGAAAGAAAGAGAATAATCATTTGAGCCATAGATATGTGAACTGACAATCCTGAATCTGACAGATTTTGAGTTCAGCTGCGTATTAATATGTCGTAGGTGGTGTCAGAATTCAACTCAACTGGTTCAAGTTAATGAGCAACCAGAGGAAGAGAACATCATGTACCACATTCAAGATTAATACAGCTTATCCACACAAGTGATATGTAACAAACAAATACAAAACTGTTTCAAATCATAACTTTGTCCTCTGATTTGCTCACAGTTCTGGTTTGGTCTGCACATTAACAGCAAAGCTATTGTTTGCTGAATTTAATATAAAAACTGTCTAAGTCATAATGGGAAGATAGGCAACAATACGTTGCCTAACTTCTGACACTTCATCAAACTAAATCATACAGGTTTTTAAAAAATTGATTAAAGGTCATGCAAGACTCTTTAAATAAATAGCATCTACAAATGAAACACACTTACAAAAAAAACTAATAGATGCAGTAAATATTACAATCACAGAAGAAAAATTAATAATTAAAGAGAATCTGTCAATTAACTGCAAAATTTCAAAAGCAAATTTCATTAAAAGGATGTAAATAAATAAAAACTTAAACTTCACCATTAGAAACAAATAAAAAAAAGCATGCACTGCTTCTGACATATTTTCATCGAGTATCAGTCAAATGTTGAGCACATGATGATCTACTCTTTTTTCTGATGGACAGTTGGCAATTCTTCAACATCAACATTGGATTCTGACAAAAGCTGCACACTGAGGCCTTTTCCTACCATGATGTGTTCAGCAGGAAAATCAAGAACCACTGTGAAGTGGTAAGCCATGTTGCAGGATGCAACAACATACTCACAGAATGCAAACCAGCTGAATGCTGCCCGAAATAAACAACAAAAACAGTGTAAGATAATGAACAAGATTACAGAAAAAATAACTTCAGACCAGAAACTGCCGGAAACTGTAACTTACCCATGTCATGGCACAGCAATCGGTGCTTAAGGAAAAACACAATCAAACCAACAGTGCTCACAATAGACACCACAAACAGACCTTTCTTGATACGGTATGAGTTAAACTCATTAGGTGTCATGTCTGGGCGCAATGCACGAATCAAACGAACCAAAGTAAGCATGTAGACCAAAGAGGATACCATAAACCCAATGAATATTTTTTCATGGAGAGCTGAAATCAGAGAAGGCAGTGATTTTAAGAAAGAAAGAACAGCAAAATAATTGACAGCTAAATGAAAGGTAGATTCTGTTAAAGGACTCACGGTAGTTTTCACGGTTGGATACATAAGTTACACCACAGAGAGTGCCAATTTCAATCATGCTGAGCCAAAAGCAGAGACGCAAATGCTTTATAAAACGGGGTCTTTCAGATAACGGTCTTTGCATGATAACCGATAAGTAATGTGCATAGTACACAAATGCTATGACTACTCTGGGCCCAACATGAAATGCCACACAGATCCGCCACAAATAACGCTGTGGACTGACTCCTGTGATGGCACTGATGGATGGTATGATGTTGTAAACCTGAAACAGTCAAAGAAAGACTCATGCACAACGGAGCACAAAGGAGACAACCCTTGTAGGGCTGATGAACAGCTCGCAGAACAAAATACTCAAAAGTCATTATGCACTCACCCGACAGTGAGTCTCATGAATGTCGTCCGGCTGGAAAATGTATGCAGTGATCAAGCAAGTGAGGAGCCCCAAAAACGGCAACAGAACAGCCCCAGTGCACATTTGTCGAAAACTTATCGACAGGAGCACAAGGGTGCGAGACCGAGACAGTGAGGCGGGGACTTGGTTTTCAACAGGCAACATCTTGAGGCTGTGGCTGCGGCCGTGCGTCGAGGAAACAGTGGAGACACCGCCTGGCAGCGCCGCAGCGTCGCAACACCCTGAGTCCAATCAGCTGCTGTAGCTGAGGCTGCTGCTCAGGGCTTCCTGACCCATCCTCGAATGGGGATCACAGTCGGTCACCATGAGCTGCGCAGCCTGGGGCGCGTCCAGTGTCCAGTCTCCGTGTCTCGCAGTCCACCTGGGGAAGGAGCGGAAACACGCCATCAAAAGTGGGTCAGCATTTACTTCAGGATGCGAGCCTACATAATAAATCACCAAGTGACATTTTGGCAGAGCAACACTCTTGTTTAACCTACAGGCGTCGCGTTCAACTGGGCAGAGGCATACCATGGTACGCAACAAAAAGAACCGAGCGTATCCAATGTCAAGAGGCAGTCGGAACTCTAGCGACGATGATTGACAAAAACTCAACGAAAGTGCTCTGGGTGGGTGAAAAGATACTAACCTGGAGGCAGACGACAAAATATCGACCGCAAACAACAAAACGAACAACAAAAACGATGCGCGAGGCTACTTTTAAGGCGGGTATGAGAAACGTAGCGGTCATTGATTTCAGTTTTGAATTCTTGTAAACAGCAGACGCTCGACGTCATTCAGCACGTGGTTCTCTTGCCATTTATTGGCGTTTTGAAATAGACATTTTATGTTTCACCATGTTTGCACTGTGCAAATACAAGCGCGACAGCAAAATAGACGCCCTTCCTGTCTCTGAGATTCATGTAGTGGTTAAAAAGGATGGAGAAAAGACCTTCGAACCCTTTGCACCAACAGGTGTGTCGGACTTCCGCCCATTCAAACAGAAAAAGTATGTCGTTTTCTCTGAAGAAGGTGGTCTTGAACGAAGATGGTACATCACAATTGGTCGTTTGGGAGGTAAGGGATTTATTACATTCATATTAAACCAGTAGCATTAATTTTGTTCTATGTTAACCTAAGTTCTTTTGCATTGCCCATTTTGTTTTTGCAGCATCCCGAAAGAAACTCTTGAAGAAAGCGTCGAAAGTTGAATGGCTCCCTTCTAGAGATGCTAGAGAATCATTTCCCAGTGACAGCACTGAGGCCTCAGCTCCAACAGGCACTCCTGTCGACCCTGCAATTGAGCCGAGTGTTATGGATGTGGTAAAGTAACTCATTGTTTATATCTCTCATGTCCTCCAATTCTTTATGTCATTTCCATTCACACTTTTGTTCCTTTTCTGAACTATAGGATGACAATCCAGGAGAGATATCTGCAACAATGGAAGCTGTAGAACCGACTAAAGCCCCCATAAACTCAGCTGATGAACGAACAAGCAAGGATATGGTATGCTTCCAATAAATTTTATCCCATTTGTTTAGATTGTTGATTAAAAATCTAACTTTGTTTATTTTCTATGAACTTTAGGATGAACCCATGACGGACGCCGTTAAAGCTGTGAGTGACGAACCGAAACCACCCCAGACATTTGTGAAACTGGCAGTCTTCGAGGAAGCAATGTCTCTCCAAGGAAGAGCAATCAGAGCTCTGGAGGAGCAACTCCAGGATACCAACAATCGCCTTGATGCATGCAAGAGAACTTTACCTGACCTTGATACCATTTTTATTCAAGCGATAGAGGGCACTGTTAAAAACGAGTTCTCCAGACTGCAGAATTCCTTTGATATTTTGCAGGGGGCTTTTCAGAAGTTACTTTCTTGCCTGCAAGATATTAAGGAAAAGGGGAATATGGCTCAAGTACTGGATTGGGTCAATAAAATCCCCACTGATTTGAATCTGAGCATGGCCATAACAGATGTTAGTAAGACCAATGTCAAGGAGAAGCTTGACGGGTCATCATCTGATGACACGCTTGAAAATGTGTCAGAATCTAGTACTTGGTTACGCTTCATTAGTAGCCAAAATGGAACCCAGGTTGCCGAGGGTAGCATAACAACTGCTTCAGATGAAACAACTCAACATAAGTCAGATTCCAATCAGCAGATGCAAACAGAAATTGAGGATGATGCTGTAACTGTTCGAAATAAGTTAGACTCCAGTCAACAGATGCAAACAGAAGTTAAGGATAGTGCTGTTACTGTTCAATATAAGTTAGATCCCAGTCAGCAGATGCAAACAGAAATTAAGGATAATGCTGCTGTGATACCTGCTGTCAGCTTTTATAGCCGTAGGGCATAAATATTCCAAAGAATTGTTTCTAATTGCTTTCTCCTTAATTGTTAAGGCTTTTATTTGTAATTGTGCTTTTCAAGATCTCAAAGACAAATGTGTCAATCTTAGAAATGCTTTTTATTTTTGACAATGAAACTGATTTTTATTGAACTGCTTTGTTAAGGCTGTCGCATATTTTTGTTCAAGACTTTGCATGCTTGATTTCTATTTATTTGAAAACCATTCAAATAATGATAGAAGGCTCTTTTGTTTTTGACAGATTTTACTGATTGGACGCTTGTTCACAATGTTAAAGTAATAAATCGTTTTTTGTTTTTTTTATCACTGGCCGCCTGTTTTTCCCCAACCTCTTGGTGTAGGTGGGTAGATATCTATTTGCAGTCCTTCCGTAACCGGTTGGGAGGTCCTTACAAGGGGTGGGGGTAAGATGCTCCAAGGCCGTGCTCTGGTCTCGGTGAGCTGAGCGCCTAGCGCCTGAAGCGCCTGCAGAGGGGCGGTAGGCAACCCGCCGCACTCGGGAGCACCGCGGTACGGCCTGGGAGCCCGGGGGCTTGCGGGGTGAAGTTGGAGGACTGTGTTGTGAACACTCACGGTCAATGTCCGAGTCATCCTCCGATGGGGTGTCCTCCTGCTCCGGGCTGCAGTGCTTGCAGTGTGCTTGCAGTGCTGCGGGGAGCGTCAGTAAATCGGGGAGGTAACGATGCAAACAGTGTGGTAAACACGTCGCGGTGCGTGCTATGCGGATTCATTTTCGTCGGCCTGTTTCCCTCGCACTCATGGGGCGTCCCGAATGGGTGCGAGAGAGACAGGGCGACGAAAACGACTCTCGCTGGCACTGGCGCCAGCGGTCTCTCCGTCTCTGTCGCGGCGCGTGGCCGTGCTGGCGTAGCGGCGCCCGATTCGTTCCGCTTGTCCCGCCGCCGCGGCATCCCCGTCCATATCCTTGTCCTTCCCGAATCTTGAATTCCTCCTCGCGCGTTCCGCGTTCCGAAGCGCGCCTTCGCCTCGCCTTTTCGTCGCCCTGTCTCTCTCGCACTCATAAGCAACGCCCCACGAGTGCGAGAGAGACAGGGCGACGAAGCTCTCTGTCGGGCGGCGTTTGGAACGCACCAGCGCGGCCTCCCCGGTCAAGGATCTGAGGAGCGAGGAGGTCGCGATGCAGCTCGGGCCGCGTCAGGGTCGCACGCAGCCGCTCGCACGCAGCCAGCCCGAAGAGGGTCGCTCTGTCTCTCTCGCACCCTTGCGGGACGCCCCATGAGTGCGACGGAGACAGAGCGACGAAAAGACCCTTCAGAATCAGTCGGCTGGTCCGCGGTATCTCATTGGCGCTAAGGCGGGGCGGGGCGGCCTGCACAAGTGGGCGTTTAATGGCGCGGGGTGAGGCGGGGCGGGGCGGGGCACGCACCTGAGGTGTGCGTTCCCAAAATAAACCGCGGTCCCGCTCTGTTTTGGATTCCTCTGCTGCAAATAGCTTTTGTGTCTGTGTGAGTGAGTGCGGCCGTGTGTGGGTGTTTGTGTATGTGCTGTCATGTTCTTCCTCCATTCTCGGCGCGAGGTTGAAGCGGCTTGTGCGTGTGTGTGTGTGAGAGAGAGAGAGAGAGACGTGCGTTGTGATTATTTGAATGGGGCAGTTAGCAGGAGGAAGGGGACAACTTTGCAACGACAGGACGACCTACCCTTCCAAGGGCCCCCCTTTTTCCTGATCCCACCACGAAAGCGGCTGAGGCGGGAAAGAAAAAGTGTCACACCGCCGGGGATCGAACCAAGGAAGTACGCGCCCGGAGCAAACGCGCTAACCGCTCCGCTACGGGTAGTGGGTGAATTCCGAACAGTGCGGCCGCGGCATGCACGTGACATGAGTCATGCAAGCACAGGAATAACGCATAACGCACCGCGGCAGTAAAGCGCTACCAACACACGCATCCAAAAAATAGGGGGTGTTGAACTCGGCGCGCTCCATGAACACATGCCTGGGGAGTCCGAGGTCAACCATGGCACAGTGGGCCAGAAGACCGGTGGAGGCGGCAAAAATTCTAGACGCGTTTTGAGCTCCAGAGTCGCTAAATGGGACTCGAACCGAACGTGTGACCCCACCAATGCATTGCTCTCCGAACGAGGAATCCATGGGTGGGGTCACACGTTCGGTTCGAGTCCTGCTCGCGACGGAGCTCAAAACGCGTCTAGAGTTTTGGCCGCCCCCACCGCTCTTTCTGGCCCACTGTGCGCGGCCTGCCTTGACATGATCAGGTCATGCTGTGGTGCTTTGGGCGTTCAAGGCGTGGCGCTCTGCAGGCCGGCCAACTTTGGCATCCTTGTGTCTCGAGTCGTGTTTACCGGTCCTGGTTTCGCCCTGGTTGGGGCCGCACACTGTCGGCGGTTTCTTAACAGCCTGGTTCTTTACATTGTAGCAGTCCAGTGTGCCGATCGGACAGAAAAACACGGGGACAGCCCTGTTCTTTGTCTTATTTTTATTTTTATTCCTCGATGCCTTCTTGTTTTCGTCCAACGAGCTACGCGCCACCGCCACCGCGCAGTCAACGCCCGGGAGGTAAGCAACCTCTCGCACTCGGTGGCGCGGAGCACGTCGAGCACGTCGAGCGGGAAATGGCGCGCAGTGAGGAGGATGCCTACGATGCACTCCAGTCTCGAGAGCGTTGACAACCTCAGCCTGCCTACTAGGCAACGCCTGGGCTTTTCTCTCGAAATGTTGCCTCGCAGGCAGGCTGCGGTTGGCGGCAACCCTTTCGCCACTGGTGCCACTGGTGCACTGGGATCTTCGCCCTTGTGGCAACGTTCCGAGCGATGGCTCGAGTATCGGCTGCGTGTTTTCCGATAAGGACATCGAAGAGTCCGGGCGTCGCACAGTGGGCCAGAAGGCCGGTGGAGGCGGCCGAAACTCTAGACGCGTTTTGAGCTCCAGAGTCGCTAAACAGGCCTCGAACCGAACGTGTGACCCCACCAATGGATTGCTCGTTCGGAGAGCAATCGATTGGTGGAGTCACACGTTCGGTTCGAGTCCCATTTAGCGACTCTGGAGCTCAAAGCGCGTCTAGAGTTTTGTCCGCCTCCATCAGCCTTCTGGCCCACTGTGCCTCGGGCCCATCCGGGTGTTAAAGGTCTTGGATTGGTTGGCCGAGCCGTGTTGGTGTGACGGCGCTGTGTGTGTGTCTGTGTGTCGTCATATCCCAACACAGACCACGAGAGCGCGTGGGGCGGCCGGGGCGGCCGTCCGTCGCCGACCGGGACACCGGGACTGCACAGCTCCCAAGGGACCTTACACCACAAACTTACGCCGCCAGCGGCGCCAGCGTCCCGAGTCCGAAAAACTCGACCGCGGACCTTCGAAACGCTCCGAAACGACGAGCCGAATCTCGAGTTTTCCGGCGGTGCGAGTGAGACAGCAGACAGTGGCGCCAGAGAGAGGGGTGGGGGTTAGTGGGGCCCTCTTGTCCACCTTTCTCTCCGATAGAGGCCCTGCCAGGCCCTGCCAGTGGCACTGCGGGGGTGGTGGAGATTTCAACGCAAGCCGGTGGGTGAGTCACCCAGAAGAGTAGTATTTCTCGCACTTACAAATTTTTTCTTCTGACATTAATTTTCAAACAGGCATATTTTTCAGGACACAAACAAAGCGATAGGAAAGGGTTCCAACAGGAAAATTGAGAAAAGCGTCCATTAAAAATAAAAGTTGTTTTCTCTGGTCGTAAAAGAGAAGAGGAGAAGAAAGTGTATTTCGGGAGGTGAGATCATCCGAGAGGATTAAGTCATTAGACAGTTGGGACGGACCTTGCTGCCGAGCTGGCTGCCCGTCGGCGTCCGTTCGGCGGCACGCCACGCCGCCGGCCCCGTGTCCGTCTGTCTGTCCGTCTGTCCGTCCGTCCGTCCGTCCGTCCGTCTGTCCCCTATGAGGGACCGCGAGACCGAGTCATAAACGAAAAGAGAAGACCTTCCAAGTTTATGAGGAGAGCAGCTCGCCGGTTCCTTCTGTTTTCCTCGCGGCAAGAATGCGCCGCCCCGACTGCCGTGCGATTCTCCGTCTCTCTCGCACTCGAGGGGCGCGCCGCGGCACAGTGGGCCAGAAGACCGGTGGAGGCGGCCAAAACTCTAGACGCGTTTTGAGCTCCAGAGTCGGTAAATGGGACTCGAACCGAACGTGTGACCCCACCAATGGATTGCTCTCCGAACGAGGAATCCATTGGCGGGGTCACACGTTCGGTTCGGGTACCATTTAGCGACCCTGGAGCTCAAAACACGTGTACAGTTTTGGCCGCCTCCGCCGGTCTTCTGGGGTGCGCAGGGGTGCGACAGAGACAGAGCGACGTCTTCGGGATCGGTCTGCTCGTCACATGGCAATGGCAGTACCCCACCGATCGCGCTCTCCGACACTAGAATTTTCACCTGAAACGTGCCTGCGCGAACCAGAAGCTGTTTTTCGAGGGATAGCTCTCCTGAATTCCCTGGTCCTGATTCCCGGGTCTGGTTTCTGGTTCCGAAAAGCCGAAAATGTCCGCTACTCTCTCGCGAAGTGCCCGGCCGGGACTTGTTTGCCCTCCTCGCTGCCAGCACACTGAGAGTCGTCGCTCTGTCTCTCTCGCACCTACACGCGGCGCCCGTGAGTGCGAGAGAGACAGAGCGACGAAGACGACTCTCGCTTCCAGTGGCGTCTCGGAATCTGAATAACGACAACGACGCTGGAGTTCTTGTCAGAACTACTTGGAAGCAGGTGTCGCCAGGCCGCGACGAGCCGCGACAGCGGGGCCAGAGTCTCTCGTTTTACTTTATTTTTAAATCCAGGGAGCCACGGCGTATCATAACGGCTCTATCAGTGTGGGCTGACCTCCATCGGGTGACGACAGCGGCCGGACGCGGCGACCAATCAGAACGGCCCGATTTGGCGGGAAGCGCGAGCGGGCCAACCACGACGCAGCGATGGGCCGGGCTATTTTCAAAGAGGAAAAATGAGGATCCCGCCTCAAAAATGCAACGGGCTAGGCTATTTGGGAATCGCTCACCGCGCAGCCTTCATAAAAATCAGTCAATAGGGGAGGGGAGGGCCCAGGGCCCTACGGCGTACGCATCCTTGTTGTCTGACCCAGATTCGCCGGGTCAGCGCGGGCCGTCTGCAACACTTTGCTCGCCACACTGTTTGAAAGTTGCAAGAAGAACTGCGAATAAAATGCTGGTCGTTAAACCCTGGGGCGGTCCAGCTTACTTCTGCTGTGGTGGCTGAGAGAGTAGAGGCGTCGGGTCTCATCAGACGAGTCCAGCGATCGACTCCCAAAACATTTCGCATTTTTTTTTCTGACTGGCTAACCATGCGGGTCTTCGCTTGCATCGCGCATGGCGAACGGGGTTTTGATGGTTTTCGGGGTTTTCAGGGTTTTTGGGGTTCAGGGTTTGCACCCTCGTTGCTGCGCGTCTTGCTGCGCCTTGTGCTGCGCCCTGCGCCGCGCGCTGCGCCTTGTAAACATGACCCCCGTACATTCCGGGGCCGGGAATGCGGCTTATAAACGGGGCGTTTTGTTTGGCCTGAGTAATAACCGGCCAACCCCGTGACCACGCCCCCACCCCCACGCCCCGCCCCGCCACGCGCTGCGCACGCCGCCCCCGCTCCGGCGCGTTCCGTCCTCGCCCTCTGCGTCATCCTGGCGCTCTCGTCCGCGCGTCCGCGCGCTGTGCACTGACTCCGAGAGTCGCCCTCGTCGCTCTGTCTCTCTCGCACCACTACGGAGCGCCGCGCGAGTGCGAGAGAGACAGAGCGACGAAAACGCCTCGCAGTCTGCAGGATGACCTGGCCTTACCTGCTGCGGCGGAAACTTTCCGCGCCAGACCGTCAAACGGCCGAGCAGAACTTCCCCAAGACCCTCCCCCCGACTACCCCGCCCCCGGCCCGCCCCTTCCCCAAGACTCTCCCTCTTCCCTGCCCCCCACCCCCACCCCGCCACCGCGCGCGGCGTCTTAATGTGCGGAAGGGTAGTTTGGAGAATTCCCCGCCGGCTCCGTCATTCACAGATGCCCGCAATGTTACAGGCACGGTGGCCGAGGTGGTTAAAGCGTTGATTCCCAGCTCTGGGGACCGTGGTTCGACTCTTGTCTTTTTTTCCTTTTTTTCCCAATGCTTTTTGTCGTTTAAAGCACACTTCTCGCCCTTCAAGCTTAGTCTGTCTGTGTGATTTGTGAGAGGATCTTTGTAAAACAAAAACAGTGGATTTAGTTTGACATTTTTTAATGGAAACAGTTTATACAAATAGATATACAAAGCTGCAGAGAATGCAGGCAATAAATAACACAATAATAAATATAATACTTTCAGCGTTGATTGCCAAGGACGTGGGTCGCTACCGCGAAACGACTCCGGATCCTCGCCGGTACACTGGCGAGGCGTTTCGAAAACAGCAACATAAAGCAACCTCAGAAACAGGACTGTGTCAAGTTGCGTGCTGTACAGGCGAGCCCCTCCACGGAACAATCTCTTTTAAAATACTAAGACATAAATACTTGCAGGGACCCTCTGGAGGTAGAGGGTCAGAAACACAACACGAGACTCCCTTCGACGGGCTTCACTACGACTAGGACTTGGAGGAGGAACACTTGAACCTACATATCAGTACAAAAAAGAAAAGTCGGTGCAAAAACAAATTGCTAAATGTGCGTGCCACGACCCGCGTGGCGCGCAGTCCGAACAGGAGATTCACTACTACACTAGACTAGGGCCTTGCCGCTTGCCGTCGGCTTGCCGGGCAAGTTGCCGGAATGAGATCACATCCTGGAATGGCGGGGGGAGGCCAGCTCCGCCCGAGCACGCTCCCGAGCACGCTCCCGAGCACGCTCGCGTCAGTCTTGTCGGGGGCCACCCCAAGGGCCACCCACACACCGCGTAACGAGAGCGACAGAGACAGAAGGCGTTACGTGATTTGCAGACGACCCCCTGGCACGCGTCGCCGTGCTCTCTGTCTCTCTCACGCGCAGGCGCAGCTCACCACCTTCATCTCGCTCCACTCCTTGACCTTGAGCTTGGTGGGGTTGTCCTCGTCCACGATGAGCACGTCGAGGGGCTGCAGCTTGGCGGGCGCGCAGCACGGCCTGGGGACACTGTGGGCTCCTTGGCCGCGGTGAGGGCCTCGCTTGGTGTGCTCGGCGTCGCGCTGCTCGCGCTGCTCGCGGTGCCGCAGCAGGCCCTGGATGAGGGAGTGGTGGTGCGCGGGGTGGTAGCGCGGCGGGCAGCGGCCGCGGCACAGGCCCGCGTCGAAGCCCTTGGGCTCGATGATGAACTGCATGTCGGGGATCTGCGAGAACTCCACCTGCAGCGAGTGCCTGCGGGGAAGGAAACCGGGTTAGCTCTTGTCGCCGTGGCCGCGTGGGCTAAGGCGTGGTTTCTCAACCCCGAGGTACGGGTTCGAATCCCACCCACATGGATGGTTTTTTACTTACTTGCAGCAGCGCTGGCCGTCCTTGCCACAGCTGCTCTTGGCGGCGCGCCGCGCGCGGGCGTGGGCGGCGTGCTCGGCGAGGACGTTGAGGGCGGCGTCCTGGCAGTGGCCGCCGTGGCCGCCGTGGCCGCACCGCAGCTCCAGCAGCAGCGGCCTGCCCTGCGCCGACGCGCGCCGCGCCGCCTCGGCCACGTCCAGCTGCGTCCACCCCACCGCCGTCGCCGTCCTCTGCGACACCAGACGGCGGCCGCCGCTCCACTTCTGCGGATGCACAAGCAAGCAGTGAGCGAGGCGCTCTCCACAGTGGATTTGCCAGAGCACCGGCGCCGGCGGCCAAAACTCTAGACGCGTTTTGAGCTGCAGAGTCGCTGAACAGGGCTCGAACCGAACGTGTGACTCCATCAATGGATTCCTCGTTCGGAGAGCAATCCATTGGTGGGATCACACGTTCGGTTCGAGTCGCGACTCTGGAGCTCAAAACGCGTCCAGAGTTTCGACCGCCGGCGCCGGTCTTCTGGCGCTCCAGGGCGGGGCAGCATGTGCGAGAGAGAGAGCGTTACCTCGAACACTCTGAGCGGGCCGGGCTGCCGGGCGAACACCCTGACCTCGGCCTCGTCCACCTCGGTGTCGGCGGGCAGCTCCATGCGCAGCAGCGTCCGCGGGGACCTCCTGGGGGCGCCGGCCGCGCGCCGCGCTCTGGCGCCTGTGGGCAAAGAGGACAGAGAATGGGGGTCAGGGTCCGTCCGTAAAGCGCGCGCGAGAGTCAGGCGCTCCAAAAGGTCCGCGAGCCTTTGTTTTCGCCAGGCTTTTGTTTTCCGTGTTATCGACATGGGGCAACTTGTTTATGTAGGTGAATCACATGACTGCCGGGTCGGGCCGGCCCGGGGTCAACTCACGCATCGCGGCGCATCGCGGTTCGTGGGGGAGAGAGAATTTGTCGCGCCTGTGTTGGCCGTCGTGATAAGGCGATGGTCGGCCGGGGAGTTTCCAGGGCCGCCACTGCCGCCACCACAACACAAGGCCTGCCAATCGATTTGGGCCCGCCCCGCCGAAGGGGGGGAAATGACGCCTATCATTTATTTTCCTCGCCGTAAATATACTAATCAGGAAAATACCGATGCATTCCTACGCTTTTCAGAGCCCTTAAAGCCCGGAAGCTGCGGTCGACCCCGCAGCACTCCAAGCAGTGCCCCGGCCTGCACTGGTCTTGCTATGGTGTTCGTCGTGATGCAAGCCTGCAAGCCCAATAATGTTGTAACGCTGCTTCTCGGCGCCTCGCTTGACACAGACCACCACGACCGCCAAGACCACCAAGACCGACCAGGAAAAAAGTTTATCAATTCCCCGTTTGGTTATCTCCGCGCGCTGCGTGTAAGTGGTCGTCGTGTCGACATTTATGGTGATCAGGCTCTGGTGCTATTCATAGGCGGAGTGCTTTCGGAGTAAAAGTACTCGTGTACACTAGGGGCTCTTCCGCATACACCTTGGAACTCGCAGTGTGTCTGTCTGTGTTTGTTTGTCTCTTCCGTCTTCCAGAAAGTTACATGCCGCATCTCACCCCCACACCCACGCAGACCGCAGCACAACATCTGACGAAATGCAATGGGGGCACGCAGTCGGACTTAAAAAAAAACGAGACAAAAAAATTCCGGAATGAGGGCAATAAAAACAACGATTTCGCGCGAAGGCGGAGACAGAGCGCGCGGATCGCGGATGTTGGGGAAGGTCTGCGTCAGCAGTGAGGCGGCCACAACTCTAAACGCGTTTTGCGCTCCAGAGTCGCTAAATGGGGCTCGAACCGAACGTGTGACCCCACCAATGGATTCCTCGTTCGGAGAGCAATCCATTGGTGGGGTCACGCGTGCGGTTCGAGTCCCATTTAGCGACTCTGGAGCTCAAAACGCGCCCGGCCGTCTTCCGGCCCACTGTGCGTTGGGCGCACCGACGTGCACCTCCCCGTCGGTGGAAACGTACCGCGGCCGGCAACCTTAGCCCTCAGGGTGGCGACCGAGATGAACCCCGGTCGATCTGGTTTATCTCCGCCTCCGCTATCCAAGGCTGGGGATCTGGGAGCGTGGCGTCCACGGCCTGGCCACGGCCGGACGGACGTCCATCGGGCGGCGCGGACGGCGTCGCGCGCACGACGGACTTCCCGGTGACGTCCCGGAAGAGCGGCAGGTACACACCGCGCCGAAAGTGCATGCCGTGCCGCCTCCAATTTACAGTGCCGCGCCAAGCTACGCCACTGCGTCGTTAACTGGGCCAATCCCGGCGAGGGGCCGACCCCTCCCCCACAGTGTCTGCCACGACAGGCAAATCAATCGGACAGCGGGGCGAGAGAGAGAGAGAGAGAGAGAGAGAGAGAGAGAGAGAGAGAGAGAGAGAGAGAGAGAGAGAGAGAGAGAGAGAGAGAGAGACGAAGCGATAAGAGCCGACTGACAGCCGAAGGCGTTCGGCAGTCACGCGTCGTGGCCCGCGGCGCCGCGGCGCCGGTCGGAGCGAGACCATGAATGGGTCGGGATGCGACTGGTTGACTGACTGACGCAATGATTCGTTGCACTTGGTTACAGTTTAGTGCACTGCTCCCGAAACAGCTGCGACAACTCGGCAGTGGTAACCCAGCCTCAGGGTTGGCGGTTCGCGCCCCGGCCGGCGCGTGCACGGGAGTCGTCTTCGTTTTTGGCTCGGCCGGCGTCAGGAAGAACGCCTCCACGAAACAAGAGAACAAGTAAAACGATAAGGATGCAGGAAGGTGCGTGGGGTCGGCGGGGCCTGTGGGGCGCCACCCTCGCCGACGGCCACGTCCGCCGCGTCCGAACCGACAGAGCCGCAACACCCTCCCGGATGTGCCTGGCGTTTTCGGACGCGCACATAATTGCAGGTTCGGCACCGGCGGCGCTCCGCCTCTCTCGCTCCCCCTGCGGAAGGGCCCGCGAGTGCGAGAGAGACGGAGCGCGCGCACATGATCGGCCAGTTTGATGAACTGTCCCGACGACGGTCCAGACCGGTCAACGCCAAATTCGCCTCGCTGCTTTGGTCGTTTTGCTTCGCCATCGGGTTCGGCACAACCGGCCCGCCACCCCGCCCCGCCCCGCCCCGCCCCGCCCCGAGCCGGAAGCGAAGGCGCATGCCTCGGCCCGGCACTGCAAGTATGAGAATCTCAGCCAGCCGCCTCGCCGAGCAACGCCGAGCGGTTCAAGCAAAGACTTGGGGTCGCCTAGTGGGCCAGAAGGCCGGTGCAGGTGGCCAAAATCCCGGACGCGGTTTGAGCTCCAGAGTCGCTAAATAGGACTCGAACCGAACGTGTGACCCTACCAATGGATTCCTCGTTCGGAGAGCAATCCATTGGTGGGGTCACACGTTCGGTTCGAGCCCCATTTAGCGACTCTGGAGCTCAAAACGCGTCTAGAGTTTTGTCCGCTGGGTCGGGCCCCTGCGGAAGGTCAGGTAGGCCACCCGCTCCACAGGGCTGCCCCGCGGGTCTGCCTACCCCGCCTTCGTAAGGCGCTCCGCCCAAGAAGGCGAGAAACGCCCGTGATGCCCCGGTGTCCACAGGGCTGCCAACCTCAGCCTGCCTACTAGGCAACACCACCGGGGCTTTGGTCTCGGGAAGTTCGCCGGTAGGCAGGCTGAGGTTGGCGACACTTCCGACACTGATGCGTCGCGAGCACCCGTTGCCTACACTGCCTCCGCTCCAAAGTGACTGCCTCTTTGCCGTGTACAGTGTACATCCGCGTCTGATGCCGAGCAGTGCGTCCGTTGCGTCATGCCGTACAGCTCGCCGGCCCAGTATAGGGACAGCCGCCTCCGGCTGCCTCCCGGGTAGCGTGACGGTGACGTCACTGGAGTTCTCCGGAGAGACGCCGGAACGGACCGGACAGCTTGGGGGTGATTGAGAGAGGGGGCAGAGATCGCGAGGCGAATGGAGAGTGTAATGATGCCAGCCCTTGTATGACATCACGCTTTTCCAGCAAGTGATCGCGGATGTGCGGCTCGGTGCGGCTCCGCTCGGCACGGCACGCCCGAGGGCGCAACCAGACGGAACCGCGGCCTGCGGGGACGCAGCCCGCGCAGCCCAGCCGCCAGATCTGCTGAGTAGGCAGCCAGGCACCCGAAGGGGCCGAAGGGGTCGGAGGCGTCGAACAGTGGGCCAGAAGACCGGTTGATGCGGCCAAATCTCTAGAGGCATTTTAAGCTCCAGAGGCGCTAAATGGGACTCGAACCGAACCACAATGATCCAGAAATGTCAAAACGCGGAAAAAAACCTCTAAATTTTTTTTGGAATTTTCATGAATCCAAGTGGTGAATTTAATAGAAAAATGTCTGGAGAAAACGAATATGAACTTAGTTTTGAGCTTCAGGAATGCATATATGGTGATTTTTGGCCTCAAAGTTAAGTGTTTTTAATACTTTGCATTGTTGTAAATTTGTGTTAACTTTAAACTCGTGTATCTTTGTGATGCAAAGTCGAAATGCATAATGTTTATATGTTTTCAAAAACGTCTCGACGCCCTCTTCAAGATGCCAGTGCCGGCTTTAGCATTTAGGACGTCTGTATTGCAACTATAGCGGTTTTTTAAACGCTAAAAAACAGCAATATCTTGATTTTTGATGGTCCCTATCTCTTGACTGTTGTGAGCTGTTGTTGTGTCCTAAGTGGCATTTGACTCCCACTAGGGTGTAGTAAAAGGATCCGTCAACGATGGGTGCGGCCACTTGCGGCTCTGGGCCTAAATTGATGCCAAAGATAGAGAAAAACTCAAAATTTCGCATTTTTGCTCTTGATGGCGTTAGACGACGCAGCCCTCAGTAGGGTGGATCATAAATTCTGACGCCCAATTTTACAGGCGAAATGGAGTCTTTGAGATAGTAGAAGACCGTTGACAAGATGGTTTTGATCGGGAAAAAATTTGAACAGAAGAGTGGAGGGGGTTAAAGTTGGGTCTGATGCCCCTAAATAGAGATTCTTGGGTGATTTCTCGAGAACTAAATGAGATATCAAAACGGCTGGGGTCTTAAAAGTTGCGGAATTGTATTCTCTTTCGATTGATACTACTGAGAGTTTCGTCGGACAACTCTTTGATGGAGCACCATTGCGATTTATCGGCCCAAAAATGTTTGAAAGTCCGGAAAATGTCTAATAACTTCTTTCCTGTTGCTGGTAACCGACTTCCAGATACACCATTCGATTCCTTGTAAAAAAATAATCAAAGGCCAACACATTTTGTATGCTCCGACAAGTAATTAAAAATTTCTGAGTCATTTAATGTAGAAAAATATATAAATTTGAACTGTTTTGAAGCAATGCACAAGATATAAGCATGCTAGCGTTACGGCTGGGGTGTCAAAAAATGCGGAATTTTATAAGCTTTCGTTTGAGCCTAAGACGAGCCCTGTAGGACAACTTCTTCTAAAGGAAACATGTGAAAAACTGCATGAAAAAGCGTCGAAATTTCAGTTCCTTAAGAGTTTTCAAGTGCCTTTTCGAAAACGGCCTCAATACCGACCTAAAATACTTAATTTAGTAACAACTCACAGTTCAGAACTATTTTCTACCAATCTGGCCACCGCAGGATTTTTTTCCGCGTTTTGAGATTTCTGGATCATTGTGCGAACGTGTGACCCCACCAATGGATTCCTCGTCCGGAGAGCAATCCATTGGTGGGGTCACACGCTCGGTTCGAGTCCCATTAAGCGACTCTGGAGCTCAAAACGCGTCTAGAGTTTTGGCCGCCTCCTTCTGGCCCACTGTGCGGCCGAGCCGCGGAGCCACGCGGAGCCCAGCACTCTCGAACGCGGCCGCCGGTCCGGTGTGACTCACCGACTCACCGCAGCGCGGGAACCGGTAATTTCGCGTTGCCTGTCTCTCTCTCGGCGGTGCTCGGCGCGAACGTTGCCGAACGGGGCCGCGTAGTAAAAATAGGTGCCATTCATTGGCGCGCCATGCGGCAAGCAGGCAAGCCACGCGGTCGCCCAGCTGACTCGACTCCCAGACACTCAGCTGGGCGCGGAAAGTCCAAAAGGGGAGCAGAGTGGGCAGACGACGATGCCCTGTAGGACCGGACAGGACAATGGCAGCCGAGTCGTCGCTCTGTCTCTGTCACACTCGAGGGGCTCCTCGTGAGGGTGAGAGAGAGATAGGACGGCAAATTGCTCTTATGAACCGCTCGGCAGGCACTTGAACCTTGGACGAGGCGGTTTTGGTAACCATGCGGTCGCGGACGAGTCCCGCCCTCGGTCCCGCCAGTCCCGCCGGAAAGTGGTGGCGTGCTTCGGCGCTGTCTCTCTCGCACGCACGGGGCGTTCCGGGCGTTCGGGGCGTTCCGGGCGTTCCGGGCGTTCGGGGCGTTCTGGGCGTTCTGGGCGTTCGGGGCGTTCGGGGCGTTCCGGGCGTTCCGGGCGTTCGGGGCGTTCGGGGCGTTCGGGGCGTTCGGGGCGTTCGGGGCGTTCGGGGCGTTCGGGGCGTTCCGGGCGTTCTGGGCGTTCCGGGCGTTCGGGGCGTTCCAGGCGTTCCAGAGTGCCATTACAGTGGCGGGTCCGGCAGAGCGGCGGTTCGGCGGCCACGCTCCAGTGGCGCCTAGCACGCCTAGCTCCCCAGCGGGGCTTCCCCGACGCCTTACCGCGGCGGTTCGCGGCGGCTCGCGGCCCGGACACTAATATAACGACCGGAGACTCCGCCGCACTCGTCGCCGCGTCTCTCTCTCTCGCACCCACAGGCCGCCGCGCGAATGCGAGAGGGACGGAGATATACCGGCCGCTGGCGTCACCGGAGCCGGATGCGTGCATTGGCCACGGCGGTCCCACTTCGCGGCACGCACCGTCACCGCCAAGGAGCCCCGATTCAAAACAATTGTTTTTGTCTTTTTTGTCGAGAGTGTACTTCTGGTGTAGTGGCCGCGCGCCGCGCGCGAAGACGTCCCTAAAAGGCCGCGGAGTGCGTTGCCCGTGATTCAAACGGCGGCCCGCCCTCTGGTTGACGTCCGTCGCGTGTCCTGTGCCGCCCAGATAACGCCTGTCTCTGTCTCTCTCGCACACTTGCGGGCCGCTCCAGGGGTGCGAGAGAGACAGAGCGACGGACCGCAGTTCGGAATCGGCCGCCAGGTTGAGTCACGTATGAGTTCACGGTGTGACGCTGCGGAGCCATTCCGTCGCTCTGTCTCCCAGGGGGCGCACAGTGGGCCAGAATACCGGTGGAGGCGGTCAAAATCCCGGACGCGTTTTGAGCTCCAGAGTCGCTAAATGGGACTCGAACCAGACGTGTGACCCCACCAATGGATTGCTCTCCGAACGAGGAATCCATTGGTGGGGTCACACGTTCGGTTCGAGTCCAGTTTAGCGACTCTGGAGCTCAAAACGCGTTTAGGGTTTTGTCCGCCTCCACCGGTCTTCTGGCCACTGTGGGGCGCCCCGTGGGTGCGAGAGAGAAGAGCTGCCTCCACCTGTTGGTCGAGAGGCAAGCCGGCAAGCCCGGCCCCTCAGCTGGTGCGCCTGGCGGTGACGAGGGGGCGTCCCGAACAAGTGGTCGATTCTAGGTTTCAGGATATCAGCCCCACCACTGCATGACTGCAAGCACGACCACCAACTGGGCGACGCTGTGACGCGATGGCCCGCCCCGTAAGCCCTCTAAAGCCTCCGGTGTGTGTACGTCTGCCTGCGCAAAGCGCACTGCAGCTTATCAGCCCCTGCCGATATAGTATGAGGTAATCTGAAATCCCAGAGGATTCGCCGTGTGATTTCTGGCACGTTGTACCTGAATGTGTGCCTCATGGGCCAGAAACTCGGTGGGGACTGCTCAGGTTTTAAAAAGACTTCGTGACTAATAGACTTATTCACGTTTGAAGAGCCCCAAAAAAGAACAAAGGAATTGTTCGACAAGCACCCATTGGGGAAAAAAAAAGCTTCCTTTTTCCCAAAAGTATTTAGAAAGGCCAAATGTTAAGCGGGGGAATTTTCCCCTAAAATTATTGACCAACGGGTAAAAGGGGCCTTTCGGTTTGGGCTCTTAAACCCCCAAAAAGACTAATGGCTTCACAATCTTTCTTTCTTAAAGGAAACACAAATTAAGAAAAAGTTTAGAAATCCTACCCTGACATCCGGTGGGGAGGGGGGTCGCGAAGATCCCAGGTGTGTCACGGGGGGGGGGGGAAGGGACCAAAAAGTGGGCCTTTTAAAAACCGGTCACGTTTGGGTCCGGCCCCCTAACGCCTGTCTCTGTCTCTCTCGCACACTTCCGGGCCGCTCCAGGGGTGCGAGAGAGACAGAGCGACGGACCGCAGTTCGGAATCGGCCGCCAGGTTGAGTCACGTATGAGTTCACGGTGTGACGCTGCGGAGCCATTCCGTCGCTCTGTCTCCCAGGGGGCGCACAGTGGGCCAGAATACCGGTGGAGGCGGTCAAAATCCCGGACGCGTTTTGAGCTCCAGAGTCGCTAAATGGGACTCGAACCAGACGTGTGACCCCACCAATGGATTGCTCTCCGAACGAGGAATCCATTGGTGGGGTCACACGTTCGGTTCGAGTCCAGTTTAGCGACTCTGGAGCTCAAAACGCGTTTAGGGTTTTGTCCGCCTCCACCGGTCTTCTGGCCCACTGTGGGGCGCCCCGCGTGGGTGCGAGAGAGACAGAGCTGCCTCCACCTGTTGGTCGAGGGCAAGGCCGGCAAGGCCGCGGCCCCTCAGCTGGTGCGCCTGGCGGTGACGAGGGGGCGTTCCCGAACAAGTGGTCGATTCTAGGTTTCAGGATATCAGCCCCACCACTGCATGACTGCAAGCACGACCACCACACTGGGCGACGCTGTGACGCGATGGCCCGCCACCGTAAGCCCTCTAAAGCCTCCGGTGTGTGTACGTCTGCCTGCGCAAAGCGCACTGCAGCTTATCAGCCCCTGCCCGATATAGTATGAGGTAATCTGAAATCCCAGAGGATTCCGCCGTGCTGATTTCGGTGGGCACGTCTGTACCTGAATGTGGCTGGCTGCTCGCAGTGGGCCAGAAGACCGGTGGGGGTGGCCAAAATCCCGGACGCGTTTTGAGCTCCCGAGTCACTACATAGGACTCGAACGGAACGAGTGACCCCACTCCGAACGAGGAATCCATTGGTGGGGTCACACGATCCGTTCGAGTCCTATTTAGCGACTCTGGAGCTCAAAACGCGTCTAGAGTTTTGGCCGCCTCCACCGGTCGTCTGGCCCACTGTGCAGCGGGGTGACGTCGCCACCGGAAGTATAGGGGTGCCAACTTACCGCCGTTGTGGAATGTGTAGAGTTTCCGCTGCGGCTGCAGCTCTGCGCTGCCGTCGGCCAGGGCGGCGGCCTGCCGGGCGGCAACCTTCTCCAGGTACAGCGCCGTCATGCGGGACCACTCGTCCTGGGAGATGTTGGCCTGGAACACGGAGTCACTCTGTCAGCCGACGGACACACAAGCAGTCACGTAACACTCGAGGGCAGGGCGCCCGGTGTAAACAATGGGGATGCATAATTCGATCCTGCGCTGTCACCGAGATCAGCGGCGATACCGGCCACGTCGGCGGCACCTCGCCGTCAAAGGCCGGCCGTCAGAGTCCTCGCCGGACCCTGCGAGGGGCGTGGACGCGAAACGCGAGCAACATCACGCAAGATCGGCGCGCCCGCCGCCGCCGCTGCATCATGCCGTTATCGGCGTGCTTAGCGTCCGCGTGACGGCTGGGGCTGACGGCTGCCTGACGGCCGGCCCGGCCAGTGACACGGCAGACGGCGAGGGACGGCGCGGCGGGGGGCGCCGGCGCCGACGGCGAGGTGTCGCGTGTCGAGGGCGGCCATGCCGGCCGGGCCAGCTGGTTGCAGCGGTGGCCGCCAGCTGACGCAACCCCTCGCCGGGCCGAGTCACGCCGTTACTGCAACCGCGCGCCATCGCGCCACCGCGCCATCGGGCCACCCCCGGCACCTGCATCGGACTCATTCCGAGGGTCGTTTCCCTCGCACCTGTACGGGACGCACCACGAGTGCGAGAGAGGCAGAGCGAAGACTCTCGGAATGAGTCTGCAGCCCCGCAGCACGTGGGGAGGTCCCCGACGAGGTCCCCGACGAGGCCGTCGGGGGCGTCGCCGCGGCGGTGCAGAGGTCGCCGCCGTCCCCCGTCTGCTCGGTCTGCGATTGTGCCAGTCGGACACTGCCTCCCAAAAACCCCCACGACTCACCAGATCGATAGGGTTGCCAACCTCAGGCAATATTTGGGCTTTGCTCTCGAGAAGCCGCGTCGTGAGGTTGGCAACCCTTCCTCGGGGGGAATCTTTCGCCTACTTGGCAACACTGCTGTCTGTCAGCAGCTCGGCAACTCGCGGAGGAATGTCCGCCGTCTTATCGGGGATTAAATAATTGGGGCTCGGGCGCGGAAGGGAGCCGCACCGCCTCGCGCCGGTTCGCGGTCCGCGCTTCGCACCTGCCGGCGCACAGTGGGCCAGAAGACCGTTGGGGCCGGCCAAAACCCTAGACGCGTTTTGAGCTGCAGAGTCGCTAAATGGGACTCGAACCGAACGTGTGACCCCACCAATGGATTGCTCTCCAAGTGAGGAATCTATTGGTGGGGTCACACGTTCGGTCCGAGTCTCATTTAGCGACTCGGAGCTCAAAACGCGTCTAGGGTTTTGGCCGCCTCCACCGGTCTTCTGGCCCACTGTGAGGTGGCGGCGGGTTGGCGCGGCCCGCGGTTGGCCACTGTTGGCGCGGGTCAGGACGGCCGTGACGCGTCGCGCGGTGCCGTGACGTACCGTGACGTCACCACGCCGGCCGCGCCCCCACCCGACGGGCCGGCGGGCCGACACCTGTGCCAAATGCGGCCCGAAGCGACGCGAAGCGAAGCGCGCCCGAGGCGGACCCGAAGCGGACCCGAAGCGGACCCGAAGCGGACCCGAAGCGACGCCGCTGGGCGCGGCGCCGGGCGCCCCGACGGTCACATACCGTTCGCGGCTGGTGACGTCACCGCCTCCCCCCTTTCTTTTCCCACCTGGTTCCGGAAGCGGGGAATCGACGAAGATGATGTAGGAGTGCTTGCGGTGCGCGCAAGGCGGCGCTAGGCGGCGCAGGGCCCGCCGGCCGGGGTCACGCCGGGTCAGCAGTCCATCAGTCTGTCTCTGTCACTCTTCTAAAAATAGCGCGACTGTTGTCAAACAGAGCGCGCCCCGCCCACGCCTCGCGGAGAGAGAGAGAGAGGGGGGGGAGAGAGAGAGACAGGTGTAGTCGCGCAGTGCGACGGCGGCGGCCTTCCCCGGAGCGCGCGGCCCGCCAAATGTTCGACCGCGTGGTTTCCCCTCTCGATATCAATTTGTGAACTTGCCACTGCTGGCGGCGGCACAGCGCGCTACGCGCGATCCGGAAAAACCCTGGCGGACTCGCGCGCCGGCACCGGGGTTCGAACCCGGGCCCCGCGGCTCGCTGCAGGTCCTTCGCGGCTCAGCGGCCCAGGCGCCGCCAGGGTCCGTCCGTTCGGTACTCCGTATTCTGCGAGTCCCATTTTAGCCGGTTTATGACTGCCGACTTTAGACGCTCTAAGTTTAGGACCGGCATCACCGACCCCGTCTGGGAGTGCACGTAATACGTGCACGACCCCCAGCCTGCCCGTCCGCGTCCGTCCCTTGGCCTCGCTTGGCCTCGCTTGGCCTCCACGATGCACTAGTGTCGAAAGGGTTGCCAACCTCAGCCTGCCGACTGGGCGTCACTTCTCGATAGAAAAGCCCAGTCGGCAGGCTGAGGTTGGCAACCCTATTGACACTGGTGCATCGCGGGAAGTTCCGCCTCATGAGGGCACACTGTTACGGCGTACGGGTTGCCTACGGGCGCCTCACGCAATCAAGCATCCAACTCGGCGCCGTCATTTGGGCCTTGCGAAATGAGGCCATAACCGCAAACGCGCCTAGCCTCGGCTAGCAGCCCGCCTGGCGCTACGGGGATTCCCCTGGAGTGGCCTGGTGGCCGGGAAGTCCGTCCTGCACCCTTGGCGTGCTCCGCCCTGCGCGGGGGTGGCGTCGGGGGTTGTCCCAGGCTGGCCAGCCCCTCCCCCTCCCCCAGTGAAGTGGGGCACAGCGGGACTCGAACCGAACGTGTGACCCCACCAATGGACTCCTCGTTCGGAGAGCAACCCATTTGGTGGGGTCACACGTTCGGTTCGAGTCCTGTTAAGCGACTCTGGAGCTCAAAACGCGTCTGGAGTCTTGGCCGCCTCCACCGGTCTCCTGGCCCACTGTGCGCCCCCTCCCCCAGTGTAGGAGGGGGTCGGCTGGGTCATTGCTCTAGTGACTGCGGTGCAGCACTCCACGCGCAGCGCTACGCTTAGCCATGGCGTAGCCAGCCCAGCAGTGTGTACTCTGATAAAGACGGCCTATCTAAATAGTATTGGTGGGTCGCGCGTCAGGCGAGTCAGCCCGATGGGCCGTTGGCGGCCGTTGGGCGAGGTCCGGCCGGCCGGGCAGGTTAGCAGCATGCTGCGGCACGGGACGCCCCATTAGTGCGAGGGAGACAGAGCGACGAAAACGACTCTCAGTGTGCAGGTGGATCGGCCTAGGTGCGAAGTGTGCCGATGGGTGAGTGCGTGAGTGGCCCGGTGACTCGGTGACTCAGCGCCAAGGCGGCGAGGGGAGAGGGGTGGGGGAGGAGCAACAGCCTCTCGTGTCAGAACATCAAATTGCTTATCTCCGCGAGTTCGGGTCCCACGAGCCCGCCACAGTCTTTACTTTGTTTTGCTCATTTTTCCTGTTTCTTTTCTCTTGACTGAAAAAAGGGAAGGGGACGCGATTTTACTCTCTGCAAACATTCCTTTCACTTTCCGCTAGTCAAAAACAAGCATACACTGTAAGGAACTCGGCTGTGTGTTCAGGACATTCCCCAGACCAGAGTATTGAACACAGAGAGTAGAGTGCCTGTGGCACTGTAAAAAGTCACTATATAACAAAATAGTGTAAATGAATGACAATTTCATCGCAAATTAAAAATAATTCCCACATACTATTAATAATATTGTCACCAACTTGCAATTAAAATCAGCCTTGAAAATTTCATTGATTGACAACCAAAAATTTTAAGAGTGCCTCACGGATTCCATTTATCCAGACATGACGTCTGCGTCTTCTCTCTCACTCGCACATTTTCCCTCCAATGCCTCAATGCACCTGTTCCTTTGACGCCGTGCCGTGACGCCGCGCCCCGATAGGCCCTGATTCGCTCTGTCTCTCTCGCACTCACGCGGCGTCCCGTGTAGAAGCGAGAGAGACGGAGCGATGAAAACGACTCTCTGAATCGGCCCGCCGTGGACTGACGCCTGCCCTGCGCTTGGACTTGTACCCACTTGAGAACCACCAAAATTAATTAACCATATCGATCGAACGATTCACGCGGGCGGAGAAAAAATGCGCAGTAGCGAAAAATTTGAATCCGCATCAGCTGACCACTGAACAATTTTGTTTAACAGCCTCCCCTTTCTCCCTCTTTTAGTTTTTGTTCCGAAATGAGGTGAACAGACTCAGTCACCACTCGGCTATCGGCGAGGCGCGCTCGCGCACCACCCCACCGTTTCCCGTGAGTCACTGGAAAAGAATGTTTAGTCGAAACGTGTAAAACTTAGTTTCAGTCACAGTGGGGCTCTTCTTTAGTCTTCCAAGGACATGAACTAAATTTTGCTCAATTCGATTTAACTTTTAACTTTTTTGCAGTTACCTAAACTAAATTTTGGTCAAATCGGTTAAACTTTTAATATTTTAACATTGACATCAAGTAATTTTTGGCCAATTAGATTAAAGTTTGTTTTTTTACGGTGACATAAACTAAATTTTTATCAGTTCGATTAATCTTTTTTTTTTCACAGTGAGCGTGCGTGTCAAGACGAAGCGCGCAGATTCGCGAGTTGGACACTTGAATGGGCACTCGTGGAAAGCCATCGAAAGCTGACCTGCCGTACAGGAGCGGCGCACGATAGCGCGTTATCGAGACGCGTTCCGAAAGCCGAAAGCCGAAGGCACTTCCGAAACAACGCAGCGAATACCGTGACCGGGTTGACGTAGATCGGCTCCCAGAATCGGCAGGACCGTACTTGCCAGTCACCAGATTCCCCCCTCGGCCAGTCAGTGGGTCCAACTCGGCAAAAGTAGTCCGTATCTCGCGTACGGCAAGAGATACGACCGCCATGACGAGCGTAAAAATTTTTGAGGATCAAATTTATGAATTAACACCTTCGCGCCGAAGCCAAGTTTGGTGGAAAAGCCTAGATGCCGAAGGTGCTAACTTCCGAACCTTACGTCGCAACCACATGGCACATGGATATTCGGACTTGGTATGACCACCCAAACGCCATGCGCCAAAAATCTCCCATACGAGAACCATGTTCTCGTGTCGGCGTCTGAGCCTTTGCCGCACGAGAACCATGTTCTCGTACCGGCTGAAAAGCCACAATTGGTGGTAAAGGGATGATAAAATTAGAACTCAACCAAAAAAAAAAAATAGACTCAGCCTTTTTACACCGGTGCGAGAACATGGTTCTCGCACGATAAAAGCCCAAATGCCGATACGAGAACATGGTTCTCGTAGCGAGCATTTTTCGTTCAAAACCTCTAGAAAAGATGGGGTAACTCGGATCAAAAAAGCGATGCCATATTTGGCGGAACGGATCGCAAACACGAGAACCATGTTCTCGTACCGGCGTAAACGCCACTCCACCAAGGTAAATTCACAAAAGTACGAGGACGTTTTTTTGTGAATTTACCTTGGTGAAATGGCTTTCCCGCCGGTACGAGAACATAGTTCTCGTGTTTGCGATCCGTTCTTGCCGGCACGAGAACCATGTTCTCGTGCCAAATTACATGCCAGAGACTTAAATTTTTAGCCGAAATGTTGGAAATTTTACGCAGATTCCGAATATGGCATCGCTTTTTCGATCCGAGTTACCCCATCTTTTCTAGAGGTTTTGAACGAAAACAGCTCGTGACGAGAACCATGTTCTCGTATCGGCGTTTGGGCTTTCAGCGTGCGAGAACCATGTTCTCGCACCGGCGCGAAGGTGTTAAGTTGTCTTATGAGTGATGCCGCTAACGCTCGCCGTTTGGGAGGAATAGGCAGACGAAGTTAGGATTTTCGTCGAAAGTTCACGCTTTCTGCATTCTCCCTGCCTCTTGTCGGGACGCTGACTGACTCACTGACGCAGTTGCATTACTCTGTACTCGCGGTACTCGCTGTACTCGCCATGCGCTCGGTACACTGCCCTCGTCTCTGTCTTTATCTTTGCCGAGGTTCACGGACTGCGTCGTTGTCGTGGGTGGGTGGGCCGCGGTGGACCGTCTGCCCTGGCCGGCAGGTCGGCAGGTTTTCCCCTTCGGTCCGTACTCGTCCCGGGGGACCTCGCGGACCCCCGCCTCCCGCCGCCTCCGGCGCAGCGACCGCAGGGCCTTTGTACAACGAACCCGCGAGTTTGCAGCGGGCCAGAAGTCCGCTGGAGGCGGCCGAAATCCCGGACGCGCTTTGAGCTCCAGAGTCGCTAAATGGGACTCGAACCGAACGTGTGACCCCACCAATGGATTGCTCTCCGAACGGTCGCGTTCTTTAGCTCTGCATTTCTCGAATTGAACTCGATTACTAGCATTGCGTGGCTCCGATAACGAGAAATCGATTCGAGGCAGGTTGTTCGAGTCTGTGACTGGCTCCCACCGGCGTGTCCGCGTGCGTGTCGTTCCCTAGAAGAGGCTCAGCCTGCGGGTCCGGGGCGGGGGGGATTGACAGCGCAAGCAGGCTTGTTTCCAGGGAGCGGCCTGGAGCGCCACTGGAAATTTCCCTGGAGTTTTTCCGCAGAAAAAGCGAGTCGGTAATTGTGATCCGGACGGCTTGCCTTCGTCAAGGACGAGGAGGAGGAGGTCGAAGGGGACCATTGGGGACCAGCAGACGGAGTCGCTCTCGTCGCTCTGTCTCTCTCGCGCCTGTACGGGGCGCCCATGAGCGCGCCCTGTCAAGTCTGGCACTCCCGGTCCCGTTGCTGGAGTTTATTGCGCCTTGTGGGGCAGGTCGGGAGAGAGAAACCCAATTGCATCCATCGCTGGTCCAGCGCCTCCAGGGCCTCCACGGCCTCCACGGCCTCCAGGCCCGCCACCCTGACCGCGGACAACGCGCAGGGTCATAAACGAACACCGTGTGATGTAAGGGAAAGCACACCTGACCCCTTCTCCTGAAGACTGATCCCGGGAGTCGTCGCTCTGTCTCTCTCGCACCCGTAACGAGAGCCCGTGAGTGCGAGAGAGACAGAGCGACGAAAGCGACTCCCGGAATCAGTCCACTGACTTATAAAAGGGGGCTCGGCACATTCTTGCGCAGATTTGGGGCGAGTGGTGAGCGCGCCGTGAGCTTTCGTTTTTACGACGTTCATTTTTTATTAGGTATTATTATTTTTTCCCCTCTGAAGGCGGGTTGCAGCAGTTCCTCCGTTTGGAGACTGTTTTTGTAACGGGCTTTAACTGGTGGAAAATCAGATCAGTCGCAACTAATGGTCGTGGGGACAACACATCTTCAACGAAAAACTAAAAGTCCTCAAAAGTCGGCGCAAATTCTAGACTCAAAATTTTCAGCTTAAATAAGACCCAGTTGAGGCCCTATCTTTGATATCATTTATCAAATTTCATCACCGGAAACAGTGACCTACTCACTCATTGTCGTGGAAAAGTGTTTATTTTGTCGTGTAAAAAATCGTGAAAATTTTTTCACGAGTCAAAAAGATGCAGTTTAAAATTTCAGAATGCCTGTCCTCAAAGAGGAAATGAAAATTAAAATTGTAACGATCCGAGTGGTGATTTCGAGGGGCGGCCTACCTTGGACATGTCGAGGGGTTGGGGCCGCAGCCCTAGCGACTTGCGGATATCCTTGGCCAGGCTGTGCAGCGTGTCCTTATCCAGTGTATCCGTGTCCGGCGTGTCCAGCGCGTTGAGCGTTTCCAGTGGCGCGCCGACCGGGCGGTCCGCCTCTAGGTCCGCCCAGCCCAGCCCGAGGTCCACCAGGAGCAGGAAGAGGAGCCACCAGCCCATCACACGCACACCAGCGCACTCACACAAGCACTTTCACTTTTCACGTCGGTCCGATCACTGTCGCGACTCATGTCGGTCCCGAGGTCCTGAGCGGGGCGCGGCAGCGCGGCGGCAACGCGGCTCTGCGCGGAGTCGCGGAGTGGGACGCGCGCGGACGCCGCCGGCTTTATATGAGAGGCAAGTCCGGCGCGGCGCGGCGGGGCGGGGCGGGGCGGGGCGGGGCGGGGCGCGGCGGGGCGGGGCGGGGCGGGGCGGGGCGGGGCGGCCTAGAGCGCGGGCCTCGGGCACGCCACGCTGCGGGGCATGTCGGGCAAGGGACTTCCCTAGCGCCACCAGCGCCACCGCATACTGCCATCCAAAGTGTGGCGCAAATCACAGATGAAGTGCGCCAGGCCCAAAACTGCGGTCACCCGTATTCACCGCCAAAATCTGTGGTCAGCACAGTGAGGTGAGTACGAGGGTGAATACCACAGGAAATATCTGGTCAGCCCCCTTTACCTCAAAGAAAAGTGTGGTCTAGACAGCACTAGGTAAATCCTAAAGTACAGGCTTTTACACACCACCCATTTCTTTCGGAGAGTAATTCTTACCACGCTTGGACGTGGGGTAAAAGAAGGCGCCTGGACTTCATTTTGGGTCTCCCATCGCCAAATGTGGTGGATGAACCGCAATTCGGATTCCAGTGCGGGCCGTCCCTGTGTGGCCGACGCCGTGCTGCAAACCGAGAGTCGTCCTCGTCGCTCTGTCTCTCTCGCGCCTGCAGGGGACGCCCCACGAGTGCGGGAGAGAAAGGGAGAGAAATGGACTCTCGATACCGAATCCCAAGGCTCCTCTTGAGGAAAAGACGAACTCCCGCGAGCGAGCGACCTGACGACTCGATAACCGTCCTCACCTCGCACAGTGTCGCAGCGCGTCGCAGCGCGTCGTACCGGCCCTGGCATTGACACCTAGCCGTCCCCAGTCCAGCGATCCCGAAGGAGCGTTTCTTCGCTCCGTCTCTCTCGCACTCCTTGGGCGCCCCGTGGGAGTGCGAGAGAGACAGAGCGAAGAAACGACCCTAGAGGCAGTTTTCCTGTTTATCTGTGGCCGTGAACGGTTAGGCTAGGTTGCACCGGGATTGCGCTATGTTGCGACAACCTCGCGCTGCACGCCACACGTGCCGGCCCTGCCAGGTCCAGGGTAATGCCCTCTCGGGTCGAAGCGGTCCTGGGCCCTCCCTGGCAGCAGTAGACCGGCCGGCCGGCCGGACGCCCGACAGGCCGGCACGCCGCACGCTCGCCCGCTCGACGGGTTGCCTACCGGGCCCCGTTCACCCCCCTCCCCCCTCCACCGTCCACTGGGACTTCCCGGCGCCGCCGACTTCGAACCACGCGCCGCGGAGGCGGCTTGCGATTGGTCCACGCAAACCCACGTCAGGGAACACTTTCAACAACACTGCCAACGATGTGACGGGTGTCTTTATCGACTTCGGACCCTCAGCAAAAGACTTCTGAAAGCGCTTTACGCTTGCTTCTGCATAAAAATTGCCTTCATTTTGCGTTGCTGACCGAAGTCAGCTGAAGAAATGGAACGCACTGTTGTTTTGTGGACATGTCATGTTGGCAGCGAAACCCCCCCAGTTGTTGTCTGCTTTTGTAAATACGGGACAGAAGGACAACTGCAGCACACAGTCCGAGTCGAAGCGACACCAAATCGACATTTTTGAGCATTCGCCAAATTCTGCTTTGCTGTTTCGGTTCGCAGCGTTCTGCACCTGGTCGAATATTTAGTCGCCTTACTAAACAGTGCTTCTTTGAGTCAGAATCAAGGTAAGATTCAGTACAATGTTTGAACGTTGCGCAACGGTCGCAACGGATGTGGGGCAAAATGTCACTGAATAACCCTCACTTTCGCTTTTTATTTTGAATTTTGAAAGACATACGATTTTTCACGACCCTCTTATTCTGTAGTGGAGAATGAACTGTGAGGAAGAGACCATGTGTTGATGGAACGGAACCGATTGCAACAATTAGATGCCACTACCATATGGCCTGACAAAGATTTGTCTTGAATTCTATTCCTTCTTTGTTAGAATCATGATTTTGCGCAATTTAGTTGAATCTCTCGATGCAGAGTTTTACTGATTTGTTTCTTTTCTGTTTCCTTTTTCAGGTGAAATAACATCAAAATGGAGTCGGCTAGTTTAAAGATGTTTACCCTTTTAGTTGTATGCCTTCTCGCACTGGACTGTGTATTGGGCTCTGAAGATCAGGATCACTATAAAGTTTTAGGAGTGGAAAAGACTGCCACTTTGAAACAAATTAAAAAGGCATACAAACAGTTAGCTCTGAAGTATCACCCCGATAAGGTGCGTGACAAGAGCAAAAAGAAGAGTTCTGAGGAAAAATTCTTCAAGATAAATCAAGGTTAGCATTTATTTTTATCATATGTTGTTCACTTGAATGGCTCTCGCTTCTATGATGACTTCATTCAATTATTTTTCTGTTCAGCTTATGAAACCCTCTCGGATCCAGACAAGAGAAAATTGTACGATATGCAAAAGACTGGTAACCCCAATCCCTTTTCTTCTGGTTTTGGTGGTCAACATTTCGGTGGGCAAGGAGGTCATGATTTTGGATTTGAATCCATGTTCTTTGATAACTATGCCCGTCCTCAAAGACCTTTCCAATTCGCTAGTGACTTCCCTGGCGGTAACTTCTTTTCATTTGATAGCATGTTTCCCGAGGTAAGTAGTGGGCTACAGCGTGTGGTTGTTTAACACCAGCCTGGATCAAGATATTAAAAATTCTCTCTTACAGGATCACAACTCTTTCTTCCAAGAGCATACTTTTGGAGATGGGAGCTCTTTCTTTGGGAGTCATTATGGTGGTCACTCAGATCATCATGAAAACCACTATGCTCATCACCAACAGGCGCATCAAGGCCATAGAAGACAACAGCACCAGGGTGGTCACTTCTCTGAGCAGAGAGCATGCAAAACTGTCACTCAGAGAGTTGGCAATGTGGTGACAACTTATATGCAGTGCTCTTAAATATATTTTATTTTCAATTTAGGTTTTTAAAATTAATTGTGAGGCTGTTTTTAAAATTAGAAATCAAAACTCAACCTATTAAGAAAAATTGGGGAGGGGCTGGGGGAGGAAAGGCCTTGATTTTATAAATTCTGGGAAACATTTTTTCGGAGGAATATCCAGTTTCTTGCCACAATTCGGCTCACAGCTTTGTTTAACTATTTTATGGTTCGACCTACACACATTAATAAGTCCTTTAAACTGTGATATTTGTAATAAGGTAGGCTTAACAGTTGGTCTTATATTCTGTATTTGTACCTTATTTGATCTACATCAAAAATGTTAGTATGGAAGCGAATGGTCTGAATGTTCTCTCAATCAATAATCCTTTGATTCTATGCCATTGGATGGAATAGTAAAGAAATTATGTGGAAGCTATTTCCACTTTAGTGCCTTGAAAGTATAAGCAATGTTGACTTTCTGTGATGTTACTGCATATTTGGCTAAAATAGCAGGAGTAAACTTTAGGTTGGAACAATCTATCATTTTGAGAAATGATGATCAATATTATAGTATAAATGTCTGCAATACTGGTACTGAAGTAGTCTTTGTTTTGGAATTTGTAAAATAATTTTACAAAGGAATTACAATCAAAATTAATGCTGTGTATTAAGTTTGTGATCTTATGACTGAGTGTGTTAAGCTCCTAACTTTGAGATTTCTCAGGGGTCAGATCAAAGTAGCATTAATATTTTTATTTTAACGATAGTTCCTGGCATCCAGGTTTGAAAGTGTTTCACTGGAATGCAGTGATGTTTAAGTGGTAGAATGTAGCTCTTACAGTGTGAGTTAAGAGGTTCAGCCAAGCTGGACTTGCATCTCCTCTTATGTATTTTTATTTAGAAGTAGATAACTAGACCTTTCATCTTTGTTTTGTTGCTGTTGAAAAAAGTGAACATCAGGTGCGGAAATCAAGAGTGTTTGGTATTAAAAATTTCAACAAAAACAATGGACCTTTATTTCCCCAATTATTAGTTCTCCTTTTAAACTGACACTAACATATTATTGTACATCCATGTATCGTCATCTGTCCGATGGAAATACCGAGTTGGGAAGGATGTTCCAGTGATTGCACGGTGCTTTTCCCCAGAGCGTTGTTGCTCCTCAAGCTGTAATATAGAAAATATTGTTAATATTGTTAAGGTACTTGAAACTGCTCTGCGGTAACTCTTCAAACTTTGCTATTACATTTCTTTTGTGTTCAGTAGCTCTTGATATGTCTCCCTCAGCAAGAGCATTGGTGACCTCGTTCCAGAGACGACGGGATTCCATCACACCCTGCTTCCCTACAGGTTTTACTCTTTTGCGGATTACTGGGAGCCTTGTCACATCAATGACATTTGTGCGTCCCTGCAAATAAGGTCCACACTTGATCAGTAATTTTCAAAGAAATAAAAACATTAATGCCAGACAGAGCGATTATGGAACTAGGTACTTACACCTGGAAATGTGAAATCATATGACGAATTCCACTCTCCTTGAATCTTGCATGTGTTGACGCCAGCCTCATTACGGACTTCGCCAGTCACTTGATGAACTTTTCCACCATAGAAAGGCTGTAAGACATTGACAACAGCAAAAATTTAAATTTATGTGACTTGAAACAGAAAAGAATGGCACACATAGGTCTGAGAACCTTCAGACATACAAACCTTAGTATGGAAAATGATATGAGCCGAGTACCCTGTGCTAGGACAATTGATCACCACTTTGCCTCCCAATTCGATCCAAGGGACTGATATGATGGAGCGCGCATAAGCTGAAGGCAAGGTAAAATCGTAGCGCTCTCTAAAGTCTCCTAAGTGGAGACTGACATCACCCACCATTGTCACACCAACAGACATTCCAGAAAAATTACTTTTAGTCCAAATGGAAGCATTCAGACACATATTTCGACTTGGACATTCAGCGTAAAATGCAGTAACTAGAACAATGGAAAGGATTTAGATAGTTACACTCGTCTTAAAATTACTTTCACTAGCATTGTGTATGCACACGAACACTGTCGGCTTACCTGGTGGATGATGAGATACTTGCTCAGCTGTGTAATGGACATAGTCAGTTCTGTTATCAGGAGTTTGTACCTTCCAGGAACAATGGAATGTTTCTCCAATGATTGGATTGTATGGCTTCTTTGCAATCGAACAGTCTCTTCCAATATGCAGAGATGTTAGATACCACTCTACAACCGCCATCATCCTTTCTTCAGCTGTGGAGCTCTCCATAATCCTACAGAAGAGTTAAGAAAAAAAAATTACATCACATTTTATTTAAAAAATGCTTGAGTGTAAAAGGATTACAAGATAATCTTCACTAACTTTATAAAGAAGTTGGGATGACCTAAACAATCAGCGAACATTTCAAGAAGAGACCTTCTTTCTAGAATAAAAGTGGGGAGCACCACTTTTGTCAAGTCCATTCCCAGTTTTAACTGGGACAAAAGGTGTAAAATGACAGACTTGTTTTCCTCAGCTTGGAATGTCCTGCCGCCTGCCCCTCCCGCCCTCACGTCCTCTTCGTCGGTCACCTCTTCATCGCCCAGAGGGTCACTCTCTTGCACCTTTCCTTTTGTCTTGGCTGAGTCTTCCTTCTCCTTTTCTTTCAATTTCATATCCTGTCTATCACTGGGGCTGATGTAACTAGCTTCAACTTTGGCTAAAACAGAACAAGTTTCAGTAACACTGAACTTATTTCAGTTGTATGAAATTGATTAAATGATAACATACCAAATTCAACAGGAACTGTGCTTTGAGTAGGGTCATTTCTTCGAGATGCTTCTCCCTGCATCGGTGTTGCCTGAGTTACTACTGGCTGATGGTGGTGGTGAGACCGCTGGCTTCCACTGCAACAGAGTACAACATTCCTAGTCATATTCATTCAAATCTCTACTTTGCTGTTTAGTTACACAACAAAATCTTCAATAAAGCACCTGTAGTAATAGAAAAATATGAATTATTCAAGAAAAATTGTTGTTTTCTTTTCTTATTTCAATTTAGTGGAATCTCTTTGCTGGTTTTGTTTTGATTTTTAAGTTTGACAATAAGGAATACCACTAACTACTTCTCATATCGCCGATGTATGGTGAAAGAAGTACACAATCAGAATTGGGTCACTTGCATACAATTCACTATGCAGGGGTTCTGATGAGCTTTGCTCAACAACTCTCTTCAATAAAGGGAGATGTGACTCGGTGTCTTTGAAGATAAACACAAATCTATGATACGAACTTGCTTCTTTTATTTTTAACCCATACAAACATGTGATAGTTCTCATTAGATATACTAGATTCCACAAATAGACTAGTAATACGTAACCCCAACAGTGGCGTTTAATCAACTTACAATGCAAAAGGCAGGAAGACAACAAAGGTTGACATTGTATTATTGAGTGAATTGAAAGCCTACACAGCAGTCAATTTGATAGAAAAAGCAAACACTTGAGACGCACAATAATGAATGAATGGTCAATCGAAGTGGAGATTAATTTACATACTGCTAGAAATTTCAAACCAGAATCTCCCGAATACTTTACTACACTTTATTTCTCTCAGAAGTAGTGGAGTTATGAAAGCTTCACATTGCTTGGCAAAGTGCTGATCGACAGCCCCCATTTAAACACAATGGCAATTGAATGCACAAAGTTTTTGAATACTGATACTAAGTAATATAATATTGTGCACTTAAATAGCATTTGCACTTATGTAAAACAGACAGGGTTGTTGCAATTTCAATTTTAGCAGAAGATAGTTAACACTGGGAAGACACCAAAACATCAAGGATTAGAAAAAAGTCAGACAATACCACAAAATACAATCACAAAACACCTCACATTAGATTACAAAATCTATAAAAATGAGCAAAGAGTACTGCAAGTGACACAGATTAGAATGGTCATAAAGATGTCTGTTTTTAAAAAACCTACACAATTGTTTTTAAAAAACCTACACAATTAAGATTAAAATCCATTTGATATGAAATAAAAAAAAAACATCAACAGCAACATTAGAGTGAAAGAACAAAAATATATTTGAGGCTCAGCCTCTATAGAGTATGTGAGGAAAAAGAAAAAAAAAACAACCCTACAAACAAAATGTACAGAACTCTAACAAACAGGTGTAACATCTAATAGTTATGCTGATAAAACACAGATTACCTTGAAAACTTGACAAACAAAAATCAGCTACATTTGTACATAAACATATGGCATACACAATCACTTGCACAACTATTGAATGAAACATATCCCCACAGAACTAGTTGCATGTTGCAAAACTCAGCCCATTGCTTTTGAGAGGCCTGATAATAGATTCAGGAGTATGCCAAACACAAGGACATTTGTAATCAACCATTTGGTTGGGGAAGGATGAGTGTCCTATGCCAACATGCCACAAATGGGTTGGTAATAGCAGAAAACAGCATTCAACTGAGATAAAGCATAAACCAGGAGATGCTGTGACTAGCAACTACTGTCCATTTACCCCAAAAGCAGAACTCACTAGTAAGTTCACAAGTTGAGCATAAGAATCCATCAAGATAAAAAGTTTTGAAACAAAAAAGAAAAAGATAATAGTGACAGAAAAAAAACACGATTGTCAAAACCAACAAGAAAACAGTTTAAGAAAACTAGGGGAAACGTTAAAATTTGAAGAATAGAGTAACACAACTATCGAACTGAAAAGCAATGGAAGTAAATTGGAGGGCTCTGGTTGCAGCGCACCTTTCAGTGCTGTATCAGTCTTGCATCTCAAGAGCTGATTTCAGAGTACTTGAGCAAAGCCGGAGTATATTGTTCAGCATCTATGGAAATATACAATAACCTTAGAGTAAACACTATTTGGGTAGAAAGGAAAGACTGAAAAGGTTTCACTAATTAGTAATTCTCATTTTTTTTTGTTTTAAGATGGTCCAAATATGAAAAATCATCACATGCTTTGGTGAGAAAAACATTTCTTTTTTCAGGTTTAAACAATCAAATTCGATTTCACGGCAGCATGAGTGCACACTCCCAAATAGGAGAAAGAAGAGGGAAGGTGAAGAAAAAGCTGAACAAGACGTATGTAAAGATATGTACACTATAAGAGTGCCCTTCCTGCAAACAAAATAACTGATCCAAGTGGCATCACAGTCAAGGCTTCCACGCTTCTACATGCCCTACAAGAAAAATCTGAAGAAAACACTCACATAATACTACTCATATCAGAAATACAATAACAACAGAAGTGTGCTGTATGCAGTCACAGTGTTCACAAAACTACAAAAAGTCTGACTTATTAATATTTCTTTTTGATGCTGATGTGTGAAGGCTGCATTCCTTTATGGAAGTGGATCGAATTATTCTTAAGGCAGACTGCATTTAAAGATCAAAGACACAGAAACACCTGGAAGCCTAAATGAACCTTATTGTCATAATTAAAATATTTGTACATAAAGGGAAAGAGAGGAACTGTTCATAACATAGCAAGGATCTAGATGAGTGGATACACTAACAATTATCAATTTCCTAATATGATACAGTGTACACACCCATCGAGCTGCACCAAAGAAACTGCCTACAGTATTGGTCCCTATACAAGGTCAGTCTAAATTTTGCTTTGCTAGGCAAGTAACAATGAAAATTACAACTCGATTCAAAGTTTTAGAGTGAAATCACAAAATGTAAAATCTGGTAGTAGACCAGATACACTTATTACTTGCTCTTCAGGACACATTGTTATCAGAGTGGGCCTTAAAGTAACAGTTTCTATCAACATCTACAGTCTACATTTCTTATTCAACACAAATTAACACTAAGTCACAGTATCCTTAAAGGCTTATTCCAATAACCCTGTGAGGATAAGCTGTGCACAAAATTAAAACAGCAAATATTTGTATTTAGATCTACAATAACTACAGTTTTATTGATTTGGTATACCCTAATTAGTTGGCATTAAAATTGATACACATGCATACATTATATGAATTTATACAAATACTCTACATCACATTGAACAATTGCTCATTCGCACTTGTAGAAGTTAAACCACTCTGGACATGTGAGTCATGCCCAGAAATAAAAATTACTAGAACTGCATTACTATGAAACTGCTCAAAACGCAAGCAAGTATTTCAAAATCTAGTCTTTCTCGATCAGAAAGAGAACCATCAAAGCTAGTCAGATTTATACGGGCAGGTAAAATAAAAGAATGGTTTAAGAAATACAGAAATCTCAGAAAACTGCACAAGTCAAAGTGGCAGAAAAATATTCAAAGGAGTGCAGGAAATAATGAAGAAAGCAAAGTTAATTAAGATGTGGCGTGTTTAACAAATGTGCCAAAATTGAGATAAAGAATGAAACATCTTTCAGGATAAAAACTCTTGAAACAGATAAAAGAAAGTTGCTGATTCCCAACTATTCTGTGATGGAGGAAAACCAAATGAACAAGTCACTCAACTGAAAGACGAAAGCCAAAAATATATGCAATAATATTTTGAAATGGCAATATTAAAAACACCATTTACGTAAGGCATCTCTTCACAGTGACGAACATGGTTCATCAAATACTCTAAGTATGGCACTAATAAAAATTATCATACATTTAGGTATTGAATTTAGGGGGCATTTGACTTTGAAGTTGCCCTATTATATTGGGAGGCAACCACCATTTGAATCACATTTGAAACAGGTATAGGCTAAATACACATAAACTTGCATGAAGTATAGTCAAGAACAATAACTATTCTTTTGCAAAAAAAAATTTTCAGAGCACTAGCGCTTAAAATGGACAGTTGACAAAATTTAAACAGCGACAGATTTACAGTGCTTTACAGGAAGCGTTCTCAATTGAGTATCACATTTAGAACTCTACCTGAAATACAAATTCTGAATAGATAGTAATCACATACTATTGTCACAGTAAGGGATGTGACAATTCAGACTTTATCAGAGGATTCTATCTAACAAGCTTCTTGCTGTTAACGTCAACTCAAAACAAAACTATAACATACAAATGGAACACTTCAGAGACAACTAACATACCTTTCCTGAATAAAACACAAATCAAAACAAACTCCTAGCACGGATGTTATTCATGTGTTTTCAATTGACTTTGATACATGTCCAACATCTTTTTTCAGACTTCGGGAATGCTTTAACTTCTTGAATTTCCCAGATCTGCAAAAGACAAATGCATGCACAACCAAATCAGAAGATTTAACATCACTTTCAAACATTATCATATAAATACTAGGACAGAGATTTTGCATGCATTGGTAGACCAAAACGGACAAACTAAAGCAAAGCAAATCAAAGATAGTTAATTTTAGGAATTCGATAATAATAAAAAAAAACTGAGTATCAAGGGGGGAAAAAAGGAAACAGAAAGTCTCAGCTTGTTGAAAACACTTTTGTAATAACCAAAAACTATATGGATAATGAAAGAAAAGAGGGCAAGAATTTAACCTAGCTGTTGCCACTAACATTCAAAGCCCATAATGCACATATATTTCCCTTGTAGTGCTGACTAAGCATGACCAATATCTTATGAACCAGTACACCAACAAAAACAGGTTGTTTTTTTTTTTTTAATTAAGATTAAGATTAAAGCATGTGTGCAACTGTGGGCTTAACAAATCAGAACAGCAACACAAAACATACAGTGAATCAAGAATAGATAAGCTGTGATGCAGCATATCTAGCACATGTAAACCCAATACACAAATTTTAGATATAGTAATTTCCTTAACAAAAAAAATAAAAACTGTTGAAGAAAATTAAATGCATTTCACCAAAGTAAGTAGTAGTTCCTTGCCATACTTCATGAAAGAGAAGATGAAATATTGTGATAAAATGAAACAAACAATCCCAAAATGCACAGCAAAAGGTGTCTACATAATTTAGATCTAAGCCATGCATTAACATCCTTTCATCTAATTTGTTTTTTTTTTGTTTTTTTTTCAATTCCTGTTGGGTTTATATCCATGTCCCTCTGAATAAAACAAATGGAAAGTAGTGACGCACTCAAGTCAGAAGTCCCGATAGCAGAACTTATTTTTCAAGCAAAATCATATGAACATGAAATGTATTAGTATTGCTTAGCAGCGAGACAAGAGAATTATTTGAAGTGCAAATACGATAATAAAGGAGGAATTTCGGTTCCTAAGTAAGACAGCACTCACCTTTTCTTTCCTTCAAAGTGAGACGGTGAGGCAGGTGTGTTGGTAGGGAGGGAATTCTTTTTAGTCAGAGGTGGTTTCCCAGCGCTTGATAAGGACTGAGATGAGCCGGGGACAGCAGAAACAGGAGGTAAGGCTGGTGTTGAAGGTGGAGCCAATTGTTGCTGTTGTAATATAGACAGGCAGTGTCCAAGGCATTGCAAGGTAGCACTTGTTGTCGCCTTTAAGACTAGAAGGTCAGCATCTGAACTGAGCATTCCAGGACCTGGATTTGACATTCATCACCATGTTCAAGAAAAATATAAAAACCAGCAACATGTTACTGCAAATTTGTATTGAAATAGAAACTGTACCTGAAACTGGCAAGTCCTCAACAGCACGCGCAAGGAGGTTGTTGCAATGCTCAGCTTTCTGGAGGTGATCACGAACCATGCTGAATGCATCAAGAAGTGCCATTGTACAGTGTACTAATGGATTGGGATTTGCAGCTGATGTGCTTAGAGTATGGTGTTCTCGCGGAGGTAGAGGAGGATTGCTCTGCAGAAAATTTAGGAATGCAGCTTAACATGTTGGCCACATTTCTCATAAAACTCATAATAAAATGAGAAGTAATATTACCTGGGCTATGGCTATAGTATGCATTTCAGCAACTGCACGCAACCGGTTCACCCAGTCTTGCCTTGCACGTGCATCACCTGCTCTTAGCTTGTAGAATTCTCCCGTGGTTGAGTTAACAGTAAAAGTGTTAGAATCTTCATCACTGGGAGAAATAACAGCTGCAGCCAAGTGAATAGAACCTCTCACTCCTCGAGGTTTGTGATCAGCATCACTCTGAGAAGGAAGAAGTTTATGACAACTTTCCTTCAGGCAAGTCAATAGGATTAAAGTATACTTGGACCAAATTTCAGCTTACCAAGAAATAACTGAGGGTGCCCATTTCAGGATCAAGGACGAACCATCGATGCTGCCATCCTTTCATAACATTGGTGTACTTGTATAACTGGCCTTCAAACTGCTGTCGAAGCTTATCTGAGTGCATGTCCATTCTGCAAACGCAACGATTAAATGGTGGTCATCAGGTCAAACAAATATCGTGCTATTTAAAAAAAAAAAATAGTTTAGGCTGATGTCAAATGTCAAAATTGCCACCTGCCAAGCTGACAATTCCATTAAGGTTAGCAGTCAACTCACTTGCTTTAAGATTAGACGTTTACAATTAAAGATGCCCAATATGATGAAGAGATGGAATGTATCAATCAGATTCTGTCACCAAAAATAATGACATTTCTCCTACTGTTACTAAAATGACTGAAATGTCATCTGTGAAAATTGCATTAATTCGGCTTAGATCTAGACGTCAGAAGAAAACCATAATGGTTGGAGTTGATCAAAGAAAACGAGGCACAGTTGCAAAAGGAAGCAATTTAAGACTGTTGGAAAGTCTTTTCATTGCAAACAATTTCACTAATTTGATCATGAGACTAATAATAAATGGTAAAAGTGAGATACGAAGAAAACCATTTTCGGGTGTGCGGGTGCGTTCCAGAAAGGTAAATGTTAGGCAGAGATATGTCATGTCGACCGGGAAGATCGGTCCGAAAACCCTGGCTGTGGCGAGGCAAGGTCTGTAGGCCTTAAAGCCGGTTCGTGGCACGCAGAGAAGAAAACTCCTCTTCCGTTTCCTTCCCAGTTCCGCGTTGTGATCGGTGGGTCGTCAAACTTAGGTCCAAGATGACGTGAGTATCTGAAAATATTTATTGAATCTTTTGGAATTTCTACTGTTTAAATTTTTTAAGTCCCTATCCGTTCGTTAACTCTCCATATTCACATCTTAGTTTTGCGATTATTTGCGTACTTTTGAAGTGTCACATCCAACGCCCTCGTATAGGTTAAGTTTCCCTACCGTGCATTTCTTACGGGGATTTTTGAGTTAACAACTTGGGCTTATATTTTACTTCCTTAAATCTTTCTTCCTGTCGGTTTCGCCTTTTGATCTCGCGCTCCCTTCGTCGCTTTGCAAGTTCTCGTTTCGTCCAACTTCTCCCGCAGACGTGCTAACCTCGCGCTCGCGTCCGGCAAGCTTGCCCCGTCTGTTCCTAGGGCCGGCACTAACGTGGGTTTTGTCTTTGTCGCCTTCCAGGTCCAAAGTCTCCAGGGACACATTCTACGAGTGTGTGTCGGCCGTCCTTCAGCATGCCGCCGAGACGAAAAAGAGGAACTTCACCGAGACCGTGGAAATCCAAATCGGTCTGAAGAACTACGATCCCCAAAAGGACAAGCGTTTCTCTGGCACCGTGAAGTACGTTCCTCTGACCTAACACTCCGAGCCTGCTCTATGCTTGAGTGTCTAGGTACCTGGGCTTAACCTGGGGGACCTGCACCCAGGGTCTTAAAAAAATTGGGGAGGTTGTGGCAACACTACCGCTATTATTTTGGTTGATGTGTGGTGTTGTGGTAAGTCGGGCCAGGCTGTCATGCTTGGTCCGTAGTTAGGGAACTGATATTGTCCGACATTATCTGCATGGCGTGAGTGACCCGTCATCTAACAGTGTTCTCTTTACTCCAGGCTGAAGCACATCCCCAGGCCCAAGATGCAGGTGTGCATTCTTGGAGACCAGCAGCACTGTGATGAGGCCAAGGCCAACAATGTTCCCTTCATGGATGCTGAAGCCCTGAAGAAGCTGAACAAGAACAAGAAGCTCGTCAAGAAGCTTGGTGAGTGTGACGCACAGTTTCAACAGCCTTGTTTGATGTCCTACGCATTTTTTGTTTCCAGTGTTGGATTTGTTCCTTCACTGTAGTAAAGGAATGCTAGACTGATTAACAGGTTATGACTTCCATCTCGTTGATCATAATGTCATGGTTATACTTCCTGCTGACACTTCCTTCCGATGCACTCCCAAAGCACTTGACTATAATTGACCACATTAATGCTAATTGCTGCTTCTGTTTTTTTTTTCAGCCAAGTCCTACGATGCTTTCCTTGCCTCTGAGGCTCTGATCAAGCAGATTCCCCGTCTGTTGGGTCCTGGTCTTAACAAGGCTGGTAAATTCCCTGGTCTTCTCTCCCACTCGGAGTCCATGATGGCCAAGATTGATGAAGTTAAGGCTACCATTAAGTTCCAGATGAAGAAGGCAAGTATTGTGTTCTTAGTTTTCCTCTTTTTTTTTAAATTTTGATTTGTGTTACTAATTTAATGACTTTTGCAGGTCTTGTGCCTGTCTGTTGGTGTTGGCCATGTTGGCATGTCTCTCGATGAACTTGTCCAGAACGTCCATCTTGCCATCAACTTCCTCGTCTCACTTCTGAAGAAACACTGGCAGAACGTCAGGTCCCTGCACGTAAAGTCCACCATGGGACCACCCCAGCGACTGTATTAATTTGCTGCTGAATTATACGTTATCTTCTAATTTTATTTGTTTGCTTCTTGGCCCTCTCTCCTTTTCTTGTTCAATCTAGTGTGTTTTCTCGGGGAGAATTTTATGCAATATGCTGATCTCTCCTCACTTGGGGCAGACCTTAAATTTTGGGTGTGGTAGGAGGGTCAAACAAAGTATCTGAATTTTATCTCACTTCTATCACCTTGCGCTAAGGACACTTAATCAAAGCTCAACCTGGTACAAAGGACTATTTATTCATTGGCCCATACAGCAAATTTTTATTCATTTTCCACAGTATGCTTTTAATTACATTCATTTGATGTTGAATGATAGAACACTGCAAAATTTAGAGGATGGTTCAAGGTATGTCTGGGAAGTACCAGTTCTGACAACAGCCTACTCTCAACCCGGCGGCCGCCGCGCGAGATCCCTCGCTCAGAGGGACCAGGAGAAGGCCCACAGCTGAACTGTAAAATTTGGGGCATTTGAGAATGGACAGCTACCCCGACGGTGGTCGTTTGTACGAGCGATGGCGGTACGACTCCGCCGGGCGAAAGGGCGAAGAAGGCGTCGCCTCGGCTACCTGGAGGACGCGACGGACTGCGTGTCGGCCGTGGGCGGGGGCAGCGCGCGGGGTGGGTGCGGGGGCGGCGCGGGCCGCGAGGAGCGGGTGGCCACCGGGGTGGCCAGGGGGATGTCGGGGGCGGAGGGCTCGAGCAGCAGCTGGTGGCAGCCGCAGCGGAGGGCGCGCCCGAGACGGGGCAGCCCCAGCGCCGCCAAGTCCACCTCGGCGTCCCTGTCCCTGGCGGGGCCGGCGGGGCCGTGGCCGTCGACGGGCAAGGGCACGTCCACGGCCGGGGCCGGATGTCATAACTCGAGCAGGCACACGCGCAGCGGGAAGGGGTGGCGGTGCAGCGAGCACAGGGGCTGCTCGGGGGCGGGGCCCGCGGGGGCGGACCGGCTCAGCCGGAAGATGCCCTTAGAGCCGCTGCCGCTGTCCGGGCCCAGCATCGGCCCCAGCATGGGCCCGAGCCGCAGGAGGTACTGCCAGCCCGCGGCCGAGCCCGCCCGCATCGCCGCGATGTACCTGCGGCAGAGCAAAGTGCCCATGGTGCAAAGCAGGTTCACGTCGACGTGTTTGCTATAAGCGCCCGGCAGGTAGGCAGCAGGGCGCGCGGCACTGCCCTGCGGAGCGGAGTGCTGCCTACCTGCCGGGCGCTCACAAGACCCAGAAAAAGAGTCCACGGGGGAGTGGAGTACCCTTCGAGTACGCACCTCGACGTCTCGCTCCACCAGCGGCGCGCGTCGCGACGCCGCACCTCCAGGACGCCGCCGGGCGGTCCGCCGCGCGCCGCCTGCATGTGGTGGTGGAAGCGCGGGCAGTCGTCGAGCAGGCCGCGCGCCAGGGCCTCGTCGTGCGGCAGCTCGGGCCCGGCGTGCGAGTCGTCCGACTCCCAGGACATGTTGGAGGCGCGGCGCGGGCGCGGCGGGATGCGGTGCTGGCGCGCCTTGGACGCCCTGGTCGGCGCCGACAGCCGCTCCACGTCCAGCGGGCCGCCGCCGCTGCGACGCGAACCGCCGCCCCGCGCGCGCGCCTCCGCCTCCTCGCGCTCGCGCTTCTTCCGCGCGCGGTCCGCCGCCGTGGGCCGCCGAACCCCCGGGGCGCAGCCGAACAGCCCGCGGGCCTCGGCCATCTTGATCATGTAGTTGGCGTCCATGCGCACGATCTCCTTGCGCTTGATGAGCGCCAGGAAGCAGCCCTCCTCGCCCATGGACAGGCAGCTGTCGCTGTGCGGGCACATGTCGGGCAGGTGGCCGATCTCGAACAGGTCGCACGCCGGCACCTGGAGGGCAAGGCGTGAGACAAGGACGCCGCACAGTGGGGCAGAGGACCGGCGCAGGCGGCCAAAACTCTAGACGCGTTTTGAGCTCCAGAGTCGCTAGATAGGGCTCGAACCGAACGTGTGACCCCACCAATGGACTCCTCGTTCGGAGAGCAATCTATTGGTGGGGTCACACGTTCGGTTCGAGTCCCATTTAGCGACTCTGGAGCTCAAAACGCGTCCGGGATTTTGACCAGCGCTGCATACTCACTTCCACGACGGGAGGGGCAGGAGCGGGGGTGGGGGGCGGTGGGGGCGGCTGCTCGGGGGCGGGTGTCGGGGCGGGCGTCGGGACTGGCGTCGGCTGGGGCTCCACGACGACGGGGACTCCCTCGGCCCCCTCCGCCTCGCCGCCGGCAGCCTCGTCCACGGCCTGGAACACGGAGACGCCGCAAAATTGGTCTTACAGTGTCACCGCCATGAGATGCGACGCCTGCGCCACCCTCACCATGGCCTCCTCCGCCTTGCCGGCGTCCGTCGGCTGCTTCTCGTCGCCCTGCTGTTCGGTCGACGGGGACGCCTCGGTGCCAACTGCAGGAGGAGCACTGCCTTCTGTGGACGTGGCTTCTCCTTGAGGTGCTTCGCCTGCGGTGGTCGCAGCAGTGTCTGCAGGAGCGTCAGCCGCTTCGGGGTTTTCTGGTGCGGTGGCGTCCGCCGTGGGCGCTGGCGTGGCGGGCGCGGTGGCTGCCGGGGTGGCTGCCGCCGACGGCTCCTTGGAGGCCTGCTTGCCGGACTTGCGCTTCTTCTTGGCCGCCGGGTTGTCGGCGTCGTCCCTGGAGCACCATTGCATATCAGGCTCGGGAAGCAGCCTAAAAGGCAGGCTGAGGTGGGCACCCTTGGAGGCGGTCAAAACCCCGGGCGCGTTTTGAGCTCCAGAGGGACACGAACTGAACATGTGACCCCACCAATGGATTCCTCGTTTGAAGAGCAATCCATTGGTGGGGTCACACGGTCCGTTCGAGTATTGTGCCGCGACTCTAGAGCTGAAAACGCGTCTAGAGTTTTGGCCGCCTCCACCGGTGGCCCACTGTGTGCGGGACTTACTTGTCGGCCTCCTTGGCCTTGGGCTGCTTGGCGCGCTTCTCGCCCTGGTTCTGGTTGCTCTTGGCGACGCCGGGGAGGTTCTGCTCGGCCTGCGCGGCGAGCGCGGCGAGCCAGGCGGCGCGGCGCTGCTCCTCGGCGTGCCGCTCGCGGGCCAGGGCGTTCATCTCGCGCACCAGGCGGCGCACCAGGCGCTCGTTCTCCACCGAGTACACCGAGTGCGTCTCGTACACCACGAACTGCACCTGCGGCTTGGCCATGGCCAGGCGCAGCGTGGCGGCCTGCTCCTGCAGCATGCCGCTGCCCGCGCCGCCGCCGCCGCCGCCAGGACCCTCCGGCTCCGTCAGCTGGTGCAGCATGGCCAGGTCGCCGCCGCGGCTGCACACCAGGTCCACGGGGTCCGTGACGGCCGAGTACGAGTTGGGCGGCGTGGCCAGCACGGCCACCACGTTGTCCAGGAGGCCGCCGTCATGCGCCGCCGCGTCCAGGAAGCGCTCCTCGAACACCTCCGCGTTGGTCACGCCCAGCTTGCGGAAGTACGCCTGCGGCAGCGTCGCCACATGAGAAGGGGTACATTCCCACGATGAACCAGTGTCGAAAGCGTTGCCAACATAAGTCTGCCTACTAGGCAACTTTCCGAGAGCAAAGCCCAGGTGGCGAAGTTGGCAACCCTTGACACTGCTGCATGGAGGGAGGGGGCAATTTTCGTCTTGGCCTGCCATACTTTGGCAAGGGCCAGAAACCACGCCGACAGCCCACCTTGTACTGCTGCTTGCGAGGGCCCGCGCCGAAGGCCAGCAGCGTGTCCACCTTGACGTTGTCGGCCAGGATGGCGGCCAGGTAGGCCGTGGAGCGCGGCGAGTGGATGTGCGTCTGCGCCACGCAGCCCGTCAGGTCGTAGTCGGAGAGCAACTTGCTGACCATGGCCGGCCCGAAGCAGAACGCCCTGTCCTGCAGCACGAGGTAGCACTTGCGCACGATGGCGGCCTGCGCGAGGTCGTCGCGCTGCTCGGGGTGGCAGACGATGACGTTGGGCACGACGGGGTCGAAGCGGAAGTCCTCGTGCGACACGGAGGCCGCGCCCTCCCTGGCCGCGTCCACGGTGCGCGCGCGCCCGGCCGGGCCGTCGTCCACGAGGCGCAGGCCCTGGCGCTCCAGCCCCGCGCACACCTGCTGCTTGCTGCAACAGTGGAACACGCCCGGGGCCGGGGTTCGAGTCCCGCCCGCGGCGCCGTTTTTCGTTCACGTACCGCACCGCGAACCCGAGCAAAGAGGGAATGGAACGCGGCCGCGCGCACCTGCTCCTGAAGGTGTTGACCCAGCCGGTGACCAGCGCGTCCTCGTGGTTCACGATGCGGCCGTCCTGAAGGTGTGGCGGCAGCAGCTGCGACAGCCGCAGCGCGCGCCGCTTCACCCGCAGCCTGGCCAGGGCGGCCGCGAGGTGCACGCGCATCTACCAACGCGAACATCCAACATGAAAAGCAAACCGGAAACAGCCGGGTAAAAATGAAAGCGCCGGGAGTCGAACCGAGAACCTCACCTCCCACAGGTCGTCGTCCATCTCCGCCAGCCCCGCGCTGACCAGGGCCTGGCGGCTCATCCCCGGCACGAAGCCCCCTGGGGGCGGCGGCATGTGCAGCTCCATGGCCTCGCGCGGCCGGAACTGCCGCTTGTGCAGGTCGAACAGCAGCAGCCAGGCGCGCGCGGGGTCGGCCGCGTGCTGTCGCGGGTTCAAATACCAGCTCACTCAAGTTTTACATACAGTAGTACAAGAGGCGTAAATACATACCTGAGGGAACTGGTCGAAAAAACGACAGTCGCCCAACGCCTGTTGTAAAACGATTTTATCTGGAAGAACATAAACCTGGCGTCAGCGTCAAGGACATAGACTGCTAAATCCACTGTGCAGCATAGCTTACACCGGAACACGTCGTAGGCGAGCGCGAAGACGCGCCGCATCTCGGCCTCGTCGTCGAAGTCCACGTTCCGGGGCGGCAGCGCCAGCAGCATGCCCGCCTTGGCCAGGTCGGCGCACGTCCAGGGCGGCAGCGAGGCCTCCTGCGACACGGAGGAGCCCAGCGACGATGCGATGCTGAGCTGCGGCCCGGGGCGCCGCGGTCGCTTGGCCAGGGGCTGCCAGTGTGTCGGCGTGGGCGACAGGCCGCGGTCCGCCGCGCCGGCCACCACCCTGCGGGCAAGGCCAGGCACGGCCGAAGGGAAGGTGTGTTTCCATTTCGACGAGACCTCGTAGAACTCCAAAAGGGCCTTGTAGGCATGAAGCAGAAGGCCCTTTTTGATTCCTCGCTGGCCTTGGAGGGAGGGAAGGCAGGGACGGGGCCCCGCCGCGAGTCGCTAATGCCAGCGAGTCACACTCCCAGGGCATCATCCCGCCGCGGACGAATTTGACACGACTGCAGTGGACTCATTCCGAGAGTCGTTTTCGTCGCTCTGTCTCTCTCGCACCTGCACGGGACGCCGTGTGAGTGCGAGAGAGACGGTCGGAGCGTGGCTGTCGCGGCCCGCGCCGCGGGCTGCAGGTGTCGGAACGTGGGCCGTTCCCACCCTCACTGCCGGCACGGCCTGGTGCCTGCACTGCACGGCCTGCACGGCCCTGGACCTGCCAACGTCCGTCGGTGATGCCCTGACCTCGCCCTGGTGCCGCTGTCTCTCTCGCACTCGCGGGCCGGTGCGAGAGAGACAGAGACGGAGAGCTGTGACTGCAGGCTGGCGTGACAAGCCGTTAATAACTCCATCGCGATTTGCGACTGCCAGGCTCAGCCAGCGGAAGGAAGGCACAGCCAGGCAGGCTGCAAACTCTGGACTCGCGAAACGGCTTCATCGCGGTGGCTCACAGTGGGCCAGAAGACCGGTGGAGGCGGCCAAAACTCTTGACGCGTTTTGAGCTCCAGAGTCGCGAAACAGGCCTCGAACCGAACGTGTGACCCCACCAATGGATTGCTCTCCGAACGAGGAATCCATTGGTGGGGTCACACGGTCGGTTCGAGTCCCATTCAGCGACTCTGGAGCTCAAAACGCGTCTAGAGTTTTGACCGCCTCCACCGGTCTTCTGGCCTACTGTGTGGCTGTCCTTGGAGAGAAGGTTTTTCAGTCTGCAGTCGGGAGGAACTTCGACGCTTCAGCGCAGACTGCAAGGCGCATCTTCCGTTTCCCCGCTCCGTGCCGTGCCATGGCCGTGCCGTGCCATGGCCGTGCCGTGCCATGGCCGTGCCGTGCCATGGCCGTGCCGTGCCATGGCCGTGCGCACCCCAAGCGACCCTAGACGACCCTTAGCGACCCCAAGGGCGCAGAGGATCGGGGGGCGAATGGCAGGACACGTCAAGAGGCCGAGAAGAGAGCCCCGGGCTTGATTGCTCCGTCTCTCTCGCACCCCCAACGCCCTGACGGGACGCCCCGCGAGTGCGAGAGAGACAGAGCGACCGCCCCGCCAGACTGGCAGCTGCGATCGCATTTCCTGTTGAAGGGCGCGCCGAGGGCCGAGGGCCGTCGAAGGGCTGAGCGGCGCGGAGCGGCGCCTCGACGGAACGGAGCGCCACCGGAGCCCCAAACTTTTGCTCCCCTCAATGCGACTCGCTCTCTCCCCCTCCCTCCCCCTCCCTCCCCCTTCTCTCCGTCGGTCTGGTAATCCGCTCTGCTCCGCCGCCGGCTCGCGCGTTGTTTCGCGTCGGAACGCGCATTTTTGTTTCAACTTTCATTTAGAATCATCCGCTGACGGAAAAAAAAGAAAAATAAACAAGAAAGGTCTTATAACGCTGACGCTTTGCACGGATGTTCCGGCTCGAGAAGCAATTATTGTTATCTTTCGAAGTTGGCGGCAAAAGTTGAAAGAGCGAGGCTTATCCGCTTTTAGTGTCCATTCTGACCAACTGTTATCGCGGACTGAAAAAGCAGAAAATGGCACAGTCCGTGCCATTAGTGGCATAGGTAGTCCGCTCTTGACTCACACAGCCGCCACACTGCTGAAGCACATTCCAGCGAGGCTCCAGTCCAGAAACTGTCGCACGGTCGGGGGTCCACGCAGAAGACCGGTGGAGGCGGCCAAACCTCTAGACGCGTTTTGAGTTCCAGAGTCGCTAAATGGGACTCGAACCGAACGTGTGACCCCACCAATGGATTGCTCTCGGAACGAGGAATCCATTGGAGGGCCCACTGTGCGACGCCCGTACGCTCCCGGCCACCGAGACTTACTTCCTGTTCCGGCCCTGGAGGCCCTGGAGGCCGCGGCGCGCGGGCGACGCCGTCAGCACGTCGGGGACCTTGACGGCCAGGGCCGCGACGGCGACGGGCTGCGAGGCATCGGGGACGAGCAGGGACTTGAAGCCCGCGAGCAGGCCCAGGTCGCCGAGGTCCATGGCGGCGGGGAGCGCGGCGCCGCGCTTGCCAAGGCGAAGCAGTGCCCGAGCCTGCACCGCCACTTGCGCACTGCGCTAGCAAGGCGCTAGCAAGGCGTTAGCCAGCCCGTCACTCCACTTTCTGCAAGGGCCGGCCCTCGATGTTGTTGCCGCAGTTGTTGGAGAGGGAGGGAGAGGGGGTGTTGCGAGTGATTATGAATCGCCTTGTTCGCGCAAGCAGCGCAAGCTGCATCCGTTTGCGTGATGCGCCGTCTCTGTCGCACTCCTTGGCGGGGCAGGCCGGGGCAGGCCGCCTCCGATTGGCTGATGGCTTTGGAAGCACCTCGACCGCCTCGGCCTCCGTTACCGCTGTTCGCGCCAAGTTCATTACCCCGCACTTGTCTCTCTCGCACTCGTGGGGCGTCCCGTGGGGGTGCGAGAGAGCCAGCGCGATGAAGCAGTGGCCGCCCACAGTCCTCAAAACTGGCTGCTCAATTTCAAAAGCGGTGAGGTTCGGCTGGGCCTTCCCCGAGTAGCCGAGCAGCTCGAAGCTGTCCTGCCCGTCGTCGCCTCGTCGGCCTCGTGCGCATAGTGGCGTGCCTCGCCTTTCCTTCGAGATGTGGGTGGCCTGGGGGGCGTCGTCGCCTTGCGTGCGTGTTTGTGTGGTTTGTGTGTGCGAGCGAGCGAAACGTGCGTCCAGACGGACAGGCGGGCGGACAGACAGACAGGCAGGCGGGCAGCCAGGAAATGGCATGCATAGTGCGCCGCGATGCGACTCTTCGATGACTGATCGTTATCCGACCCCCCCCCCCCCCCCCCCCCCGCCCCGCCCCGCCCCGCTGCGTGCACTCGCAGCGTGGAGTCGTTGGAGCCCCTGTGGACGCGAGGGTAGGCACCCCGCTCGTCTCGCGTGCGGCCGGGCGGGCCGCGGCGCCCCTGCAGCTCCGCCCGCCCCGCAGACCGATTCCGAGAGTCGTTGTCGTCGCTCCGTCTCTCTCGCACCCACGCGCCACGCCCCGTGAGTGCGAGAGAGACAGAGCGGCGAAAACGGCTGCGGAGCGCACCACCGCACCCTTCACTCCGGAAGCCTGCTCGCCCGGCTGTTCAACAGAGAGCTCCGCACGGACTGCGCGGTACGCGGCGGTACACTGTACGCCCTGCACTCGCCTCTCCCAGCAGACTGGTTCCGAGAGTCGTCTTCGTCGCTCTGTCTCTCTCGCACCCACACGCGACGCCCCATTGGTGCGAGAGAGACGACCCTCAGTGCGCTGGATGCCCGCCACAGTTCGGCCCAAGTTTGACGAGTCCCGACAAGTGGTCCGCGGGAGGCCCGATTGATTTCTGGCGGGAAACGCACGGGAAGGGGACGCCCCTCCACAGCGTGCACTTACCACGTAACGAGGGCTGCTTTGTGTGCGGTGTACGCGCCGCGAGGGTGGGGGCATTGGGTCATGGGGTCACGCGGTCCCGGGGGCCACACGGCCGCGCCAAAGAAGTCAGAGAAACTGGCTGCCAGTTCGGAAGCTGGCTTTCTGTCACTGGCCGCGGAGCTCACTGGTGACGTCAGCGCCAGAGCCACCCGTCAAAAGTCAATGCAGTTTTCTCGCGATGCACCGGTGTCGAAAGGGTTGCCCTTTTTCGCCACTTACTGCGAGACAAAGTCAGCGTGTCTGACTGTGCCGGTTCGCCGGTTTGCCGGTTTGCCGGGTCCTCCGCCATCCCTTCCTCCTTCCTGCCTGAATGCCCCTGAATGCCACTGAATGCCGCGCTGAATGCGGGCTTCGCACGCAGCTGTATACCACCGCAGCCGCCATAACTTTCCCCTCCTTGTGCCCCTGCCGCCCCTGCAGACTGACTCCGAGAGTCGTTTTCGTCGCTCTGTCCCTCTCGCACTCAAGGCGCGTCCCCTACAGGTGCGAGCGAGACAGAGCGACAAAAAACGAATCTCGGAATCAGGCTGCTGCCGGTGCCCCCGGTGCCCCTTGTGTCTGCGGTGTCCCCTCGGTGTCCCGCGGGGGCCGCGCCACGACAAAAGGAGTGTTTACAGTCTACCGCCCCTCTCACGCAAAGAGTCAAAGAGCGCTCGCGAGGTCACCTCGAGACCGTGGGCCTGCAGACTGATGCCAAGAGCCTCTCTCGCACCTAACCTAACCTAACCTAACCTAACCTAACCTAACCTAACCTAACCTAACCTAACCGTGGGCCTGTAGACCGATGCCGAGAATCTCTCTCGCACCTGTACGGACCACTCCATGCGTGCGAGAGAGGCAGAGTGACGAAAACGACTCTCGGAATGAGTCTCCCGAGCTGGGCCGGCGAGTACCGCCCCCTCGCGGCCTCATCTAGAAGCTCGGCGGCCCAGCGCCGCCGATACGCCGCGTCTGCATTACTGCATGACTGCATGGGTGTCGGCGATGATAAGGCGTAGTGCTGCCACATGCGGCGGCTAAAACTGCCACTCGATGCAGCCGTGTCGAAAGGGTTGCCAGCCTCAGCCTGCGTAATGGGCCTCTTACTGGAGGGAAAGGACCAGGTACTGCCTGGCAGGCAGCGGCGGAGGTTGGCAACCCTTTCGACACTGGTTCTTCGTGGGGGATTTCTGCCTGCTTGTGTGGCAAAACTGAGAGCGCTCATGTGGGATGCTGCACGGGCTGCACGGCT